CCTGTGTTCTTCTCTAGGATTTTGATGGATTCCTTTCTCATATGTAGATATTTCATCCATTTTGAGTCTATTCTTGTATGTGGTGTGAGGAAATGATCCAGTTTCATTTTCATTCTTCTGCATATGGCTAATTTTCCCAATACCATTTATTGAAGAGACTGTCTTTTTTTCCATTGGATATTCTTTCTGACTTTGTAGGAAAGATTAGTTGACCATAGAGCTGAGAGTCCATTTCTGGGTTCTCTGTTCTGTTTTATTGACCTATGGGTCTGTTTTTGTGCCAGTACCGCACTGTCTTGATGATTTACAGCTTTGTAATAGAACTTGAAGTCCGGAATTGTGCTGCCATCAGCTTTGGTTTTCTTTTTCAAGATTGCTTTGGCTATTTGGAGTCTTTTGTGGTTCCATACAAATTTTAGGATTGTTTGTTCCAGCTCTATGAAAAATGCTGGTGGTATTTTGATATGTATTGCACTGAATGTGTGGATCACTCTGGATAGCATAGACATTTTAACAATATTTGTTCTTCCAATCTATAAGCATGGAATGTTTTTCTAGGTCTTTGCATCATGTTGAGTTTCTTTCATAAGTGTTCTATGGCTTTCAGAGTACAGGTCTTTCTCCTCTTTGGTTAGGTTTATTCCTAGATATTTTATTGTTTTTGGTGCAGTTGTCAATGGCATTGTTTTCTTAATTTTTCTTTCTGCTGCTCATTATGAGTAGATAGGGATACAACAGATTTCTGGATATTGATTTTTGTATCCTGCAACCTTACTGAATTCATTTATCATTTCTAGCAGTTTTTTTGTGGTCTTTATGGCTTTCCCTACATTGTATAATGTCATATGGAAAGAGTGAGAGTTTTACTTCTTCGATACCAATTTGGATGCCAAATTTTATTCCTTTCTCTTGTCTGATTGCTGTGCCTGTGACTTCTAGTCCTATGTTGTACTAAACACTGGTAACAGTAGGCAACTGTGTCATGTTCCTGACCTTAGGAAAAAGGCTCTCAGTTTTTTCCCATTGAGGATGATGTTTACTGTGGGTTTTTATTGCTTTTCTGCAGTTTGCATTTTTTCTTTCTTTGAGGTTTTATGCTTTCTCTCATTTATTTATAATAGCTCTCTAAATATTAAGGATGTTAATTCTTTCCTTTATTTTTGTAGGTTTTTCTAGTTTTTGTATTTCAATTGTTAATCGTACTTTGTAACCTACAATCCATCTGAAATTTAATTCTTCTTGTTATTGTTTCTCAAATGGCTATCTGATTGTTCCTGAGCAATTAAAATAATTTGTTTCATGAGCTGAAAGCCCTACCCCTTCTCCTCTCTCCCAGTCATGCTCCCATTCTGTCCAAGGGTTCCTATATCAGCAGAGATTTCCAGTGGCTTATGGGTGGAAGTCAGTTGGGATGGCCAGCAGCTCAAAGCCAGGGGTAAGTGCACCTGTGTCCAGGAATGCCCAGCATGCATTTTGTGCAGAGGCATTAGATGTCCTTTGGCCACTGTCAAGGCAGCACAGGTGTGGGAGTGGCCAAGCTCTTTGGAGAGGCTGTCTGTGGGTGGCTTGGAGCCTGGTCACCTGCACAGGTGAGTAGGTGTTGGTACACAGGCCTAGTCACTTAGGGCAACAGGGAGAGTCTGAGAAGGCAGTTTGTGCTGTTTGACGGTGAACCCATGCTGCCTCCATGCAGTTTCCCTCCACTGCTGATGCTTTCATAGGTCAGTGGAGCTGTGAGTTCACCTGTGGCCCCTGGTCTGGGTACGCTGTGCAGAGGTGCTACATGAGGAGTCAGAAATGTGAAGTCCCACTGTGTCAATGCCACTAATGAGTTTCATTACTTACTGACACCTCCAATTTTTTCACTTGTAAAATGGAAGAAACATAACAAACAACTTTAAAGGGTATCATAAGTATTAAATGATGTAATGTATTTATTGATATATCCAAATCTGCATGTTAATATGTATGAAGATGATTTTTATACTGTAAATTGGTGTGCAAATGCTATTACTTGCAAATCGTGGTGCTGAATGTGACAGGAGTTACAGAAGAGATTAAGATAATCCTTGGTGCATAAAAGTTTATGTTGAAGGAGTAATACAAAATTTAATCAGAGTTTGATGGATGGAGTCTTTTTCTTATTTTTAAAAATATTCATGTCTTGGGGATCCCTGGGTGGTGCAGCGGTTTGGCGCCTGCCTTTGGCCCAGGGCGTGATCCTGGAGACCGGGATCAAATCCCACATCGGGCTCCCGGTGCATGGAGCCTGCTTCTCCCTCTGCCTGTGTCTCTGCCTCTCTCTCTCTCTCTCTGTGTGACTATCATAAATAAATAAAAATTAAAAAAAATATTCATGTCTTTAATTCTCATGAAACTGTATTTCACTCAAAGTAGCACTTTTTTCTTTTAAAAAGATTTTTAATTTAAGTGTAATTAACATATAGTGTTATATTAGTTTTAGGTGTATGATATAGTTATTCAGCACTTTCATACATTACCTGGCACTTATCAGGTTATGTGTGCCCTTGACCTGTTCATCTGTATGCTATCCCCACGCCCCCTTTCCCCACCCTCTCTTCCCTCCTACCCTACTTCCTCTACCCCTCCCCCACCTCCCCACTACAAACACCATTTTCTTCTCTATATTTAAGTCTGGTTTTTTTTTTTTTTTGGTCTCTTTTTTTTTTATTTGTTTGTTTCTTAAATTCCATGAGTGAAATCATGTGGTATTTGTCTTTCTCTGACTGACTTATTTCAATTAGCATAACACAGTCTAATGTCTACGGAATGTCAAAATCTTGTTCTTTCTGATGGCCGAGTAATATTCCATTTACATATATACCACATCTTCTTTATCCATCCAATGGGTGGCTTCTTAAAATTTTTGAAACAATTATAATTTTCATGTATTCTTTCATGTTTCTTTTTTTAAAAAGATTTTTATATATTTATTCATGAGGGACACAGAAAGAGAGAGGCAGAGACATAGGCAGAGGGAGAAGCAGGCTCCATGCAGGGAGCCCGATGTGGGACTTGATCCTGGAACTCCAGGATCATGCCCTGAACCAAAGGTAGATGCTTAACCACTGACAACCCAGGCGTCCCTTCTTCTATGTTTCTTATGATATTTTATGTTTCGGAGAAGCACTTGGAGGAGCTACACAGTAATTTCATTGCATCCTCTTGGGACACTCCCCTCATCACCAACTACGTGCTGGCCTCCGTGCTAACCCTTGGTTCCTTTAAAATGGCAAAACCTACAAAGCAAATCATGGTAGCCTTAAAATACTTAGCTATTTTTTTCTATGAGATTCTCTGCCATGTCTTGGCAGTTGCAAGAATAATAACTAAAACCAAGTTTATGAATGGAGAAGACTGTGCATTAAAATATTCAAAATGTTTTTTATTTTTTTCTCTCCAAATTCTTGCAGAATTTTCAAGTCTTTAAAGATCGCCTCTTATTTGTTATCACAGAGCCTCTATTTTATGGGAGATTATGGAACATAAGTCCTGTGACTATTTTGAGAGCCTTATTGCTCACATTTCCCTACCTGCCAGTATCTTGGCCTTAGAGATTCTAAAATTCTAGTCAGAAACCTTCAATCAGAATGCTTGCTGACTTCCTTTGGGTTATCTTCCGGTAGAACAGCTCATCTCCTTTGTTTTGTTCAACTGTGAATGCTGCACCGTGTGGGGAAGTGGTGGTGGCTGACTGGGCAGTGAGCAGGTGCTGCATGCTGCAGGGTGGACCCCCATCGGGTGGCCTGGAGGCTTTGCACAGAGCACCACCCACTCAGGGGAGAAGCCCCCAGTGGTCTTCCCCTGTCTGCTGGTGTTGTCTGAGCTGGAGGATGGCGGCCCAGGGCCCTGACTGCAGCCCTGTGATCTGCCCCCAGAGGGGTCACCTGGGCAAGGGTGTGGGGAGGTGAAGGAAGTGGTAAAGGGCACACAGAGGACTGTTGGGGCACTCTGCCGACACTGGAGGGTGGGAAGGCCTGGCAGGTGGAGAGCTTGAGACAGGAAAGATCACTGAGGGGAAGGAAAGCTGTTCAATTCTCAGAGCCAAGAGCAAGCCAGCATGATGGGTCAGAGGGAACGTCTGTGTCTGCATTGAGACTTGCTGGCCTTGAGCCCAAGGGAGGCTGCTGTTCAGGAGTCGGGGTGTGGGCAGTCTGTGGCCTCCTCACCACGGTCAGGGGTTCTGGATTGTTTTGTAGATTAGCATGATCTTTCATGTGGGTATTCAGGGCCCAGGCCTCTCGAAGACAGAGCTAGGATGGATTGGGTACGAGGGGCTCAGGAAAGGAAGGTATTGGCATTCGTGTAGGCTTTGGTCCCTGGAAACTAGAACATGGTCCTGCTCCGAAGAGAGATGTGGAGATAGAAGGGGTTCTGAGCGGGAAGGACGGAGCGGAGTTACCTGGTCGCCAGCCTCCCGAACAGAGTCCCTGTGTGTGTGGAGCTGGGGCTGTGGCCCACTCTCCTCCCTACCCGGGCCCTCCAGGTCCTGACCGCTGTGCCCACTGCTGCAGATGGAAATGTGTATTGTTCAGCTGCCCTGAGTAGCTCTCCAGTTATGAACCAGGCTTTAGGAGCCCTTCTGTATGGTCTGCTGCCCAGCACACCAGGCTCTCCCCACTGGATGCTTGTGAGGTCGCAAACTGTGGGACAGAAGTCTGAGGCTGTTGTTCAGTCATTTATGCTCTTGTAAGATGTGGTCAGAGAGTTGGTGATTATATTTCCTGAGGTCATAGGCTTTCACCACGTACAGTGTTGTGAAACAGTTGAACAAACCCAAGGTGAGCAGTAGGCGATGTAGACTAATATTGCAGTCTGCCCCCAACTTGCTTGGAAAACTTGGGAAATGATATTGTGTCTCAGTCATCGATAATAACAGTCCATTTCAGTAGTAACCTTCTGTTCACTCCTCAGCGCTAGTGCTGGGCCAACGCATCATGGGCCGCCTCCCTGAGATGCTGGTTTGGTCTGTTTTCCAGCAGCGGGAGCCGACTCCGCACGTCTGAGCAAGGTGTACTGATCGGAAGACGGGGACGTGAATCCAGGTCTGTTTAAATCTGAAAGCCCATGGGAGGGGTGAGCAGTTGTGTGTATGGAACCTTCTGGACTTTCAGTAACATCTTCTCCTTTGTCCTGGGAGTGGGGACGGGCAGGTGAGTGAGTGGGTGTGACGCACTATGTGTGATGTACTCTATGGCATGTCACCCTGCAGTCGTCATCTGTGCCTCTGTGCTCTCAGGCTGGAGATGGGAGAACCACGAGGGATTTTCTGCTCTGCCCAGGGCTGTGTCAGTGACGTGATAGTAGAACAGCGCCTGGTAGAGTCAAAGGAGCCTGCATCCCACGTGCCGCTCACTTGCAGCGCACAGTACTGTGCTTTCCCTGGTGGATGGGAATGTACTTTGCCTGTGGAACACCAAGGACCCTTATTACCAGGTACATCAAAGTTCCATGTGCTTTTTGTTAAGTCAAATGACACAAAAATCCTTGTAGTCACTTGCCCATCTCTCTGGTGCTGTTTGGATGATGCTGCCCTCTGTGGATTCAGCGGCCCACTCTGGGAGAAACACGTTTGAGTTGTAGAAAATAGACTGCCTGCCATCCCTTTATTAAAGAATTTCTTCTTCAGTAAGGATTATACGCAAGAAAAGGTTTATGTTAACATAAGACAGGTTAAAGTTTTATAGATTTTATTTTATTTTTTAAAAGATTTTATTTATTTATTCATGAGACACACAGAGAGAGGCAGAGATACAGGCAGAAGGGAGAAGCAGGCTCCTCCCTGGGAGCCTGATGTAGGACTCGATCTCAGGACTCCAGGATCACACCCTGGGCCGAAAGGAGGCACTCAACCACTGAGCCACCCAGGAGTTCTGAATTTTTGTAGATTTTAAATGTAACATATTTAAGGAAGTTTAGTATATTTAATGCAGAATCTTTTATATCATGCTGACAGTTTTAAAGACATCACTCGTTTGCATTCAAAAATTATTTCATGACTAGTATAAATTATCTGAATGCTCTTGGAAACAGATTTCATTGTACAAAATGAAAAAGTAAACTCTATCAGCCTTTTTGGTGTGAGGGATCATTTTTATCTTCATTCTGGGCTATAGGAATTTAGGGCCAGTGATGACAGCCCATGGAGCCAATGCTGTGTTTGCCTGAGAGCTTCTGTCATTTCCATGTTACTGACACTTCACTCATCATTAAAGAGAAATCTATAGTTAGGTTTTTTCCTCATTGAGGTACAAGAGGCTTTATTATGTTCCTTCAACATGACTTACACTGGTGAGTTGGCCCCTGCATTCCCCGGGAGTGTGAGATACTTAGAAAAATGTGTTCCATTAGATACTGAGTGCCATCGTTTGACGCTAACAAAGTGAGCCCAGCTGGGTACCCGTCATCCAGGTTCAGCCTCAACTCCTCCCTCAACTCCTAGCGCCACGTGTCAGTTTGACTTGTGTTTGAACTTTGTATGAGTGGGGTCATGCATGATGCCGGTTGCTCTGATTCACCCTTACACTTGTGGGGATCATCCCCATGGTTCCTTTCGATCACTGCATGCATAGTATCCCCCTGCCTGGATGGACCACATTAGCCCTTTCCATTCTTGGTGACATTTGTTTTGTTTCCATATTTTGACTACTACATGCATTCTTTTGTTTGTTTTCTGAAACACAGGTGTGTACAATTGCTGAATCCTAGGTAATGGGTAATTATAGGTTGGTAGATAAGGTCAAGAAGATTTCCAAGGTGGTTGTACTGATCTGTACTCCTTCACAGGCCATGTAAGAGTTCCACTGATCCACATCCTTATCTGTACTTGGTCCTTTTAGTCTGAGGCCTCCTGGTGTGTGTAGGCATGCTTGTTTAATGGGGAGTTCTCTACTGATTAATGAGGTTTAACCCTGTTTGCAAATTTATTGGCCATTTGGACATTGGCTTTCATGATAGGTGTTCAGTCTTATGCTGTTTTTTTTTTCTGTCATGTTATCTGTCTCTTTCCTATCGACGTGAAGGAGTTCTTCATGTATTCTAAACAAGAGCTTTACATTAGTTTGCATTTCCTAGAGTTTGATGCCAGTGAAATCAGACAGTACTTACTCTTTGTGTCTGGCTTCTTTTGCTCAGAATAATTAGTTTGGAAGTTATCTGCATTGTTGCAGGTATCAATGGTTCATTCTTTTTCAACATTGAGTACTTTCCCATTGTATGAACATACTATAATTTGTGTATCCATTCTTCAGTTGGTGAACATTCAGGTTATTTTCACTTTTGACTATTGTAGATAAAACACTATGAATATTTGCATATCTGTTTTATAAATTAGGTCACATTGCTTGATAGTATTCTTTACATCTTCTCTCATGCCTCTTGCTCTGTCGGTGACTGAGATACAAATACCCGGGACTCTACATGGGAATTGGCCTGTTTCTCTTCCATGTATTTTGAAACCTCATTATTCAGCACGTAGATGTTTGGTATCTTTATGTTCCCGGTGAATTGGCTCTATTAATGTAATGAAGTAACATTCCTTTATCCCTGGTCATATTTCTTGATCTGAAACTTTGGCTACATGTTTCTTTTTGGAGGATATGTTTTATCCTTTTTAGTTTTTAATTTTAAGACTTTATTTAAAAGCAGTTTTAGGTTCACTGCAAAATTGAGGGGATAGTATAGAGATTTCCTATATACCCCTGCACTCCCCGCAACAGAAAGCCTCCCCCACTATCAACCTGTGCACTAGAGTCCTGCATTTGCTGCACCTGATGAACCTGCATCGATGCGTCATCATCACCCAGAGTTCATGGTTTATCTCAGGGTCACTCCTGGGATTGTGCTTTCTATGGGTTTGGACAAATGTACAATGACATGTATCCACTGTTATATAATTCAGAGCATTTTCACTGCCCTAAAATCCCATGCTCTGCCCCTTCATCCCTTATTTCCCCAGCCCCAACCCCAACCCCAGCAACCTGTCTCCACGTCTGCCTTTCCCAGAGTGTCATGTGGGTTGGATCACACAGTGTGTGGATTCAGACTCGCTTCTTTCACTTAGTGATGTACATAGAAAGTTCCTCCCTGTCTTTTCATGGCTGGATGGGTCATTTATTTTTAGTGCCAAACACTATTCCATTGTCTGGATGTAGCAAGTTTACCTGTTTATTGACTAAATGACATCTTGGTTGCTTCCAAGTTTTGGCAGTTATGAATAAAACTGCTGTAAATATCCATGTACAAGTTTTTGAGTGGACATAAAATTTCAGTTCCTTTGGGCAAATACCAAGAAGCATGATTGCTGGATCATATTGGTAAGAAAATATTTATTTTTGTAAGAAACTGGCAAACTATCTTTCAAAGCAGCTGTACCAATTTGTATTCCCACCAGCCATGAATGAGAGTTCCTGCTATTCCACATCCATATTGGCATTTGGAGTTGTCAATGTTCTGGATTTTGTCATTCCACTATGTGTGTAGGTGTCATTGTCTTCATTTGCATTTCCCTGACGACAGCTGATGTGGAGTTTGCTTACTTGTCACCTGTGTATTTCTTTGGTAAGGTGCCTATGATGGTCTTTGGCTCATTTTTTAGGCTGGTTATTTTTTTATTGATGCCTTTGAAAAATTCTTTGTATATTTTAGGTAAAGTCCTTTGTCAGATGTGTCTTATGCAAATATTTTCTCCCACTCTGTGGTTTGTCTTCTCATTCTCTTGATGGTGTCTTTGATGGAACAGAAAATTTTAATTTTAATGATGTCTAGCCCATCAGTTCTTTCTTTCATGGATCATGCCTTTGGTCCTTATCTGAAAGGTCATCACCACGCTTAAGTCATCTAGGTTTTCTCTTGTGTTATTTTAAGGAATTTTTAGTTTTCTCTACTGTATCACCCTTGTTCCTTAGTCAAAGTTTAGTTGACTATGTCTTTGTCTTTTTCTTCTCTCCCATTGATCTGTTTGTCCTTTCTTTTGCCAATACTAGTCTTGATTAGTGTAGCTTCATCGCAAGACTTGAAGTCAGACCTTGTCCATCCTTCAACTTGGTTGTTGTTCCTCAGGATTGTGTGGCCATCCTGGGTCTTTTACTTCTGTATAAACTTTAAACTCAGTTTGTTGGTTTTGATTGGGATTGGGTTAAATCTATAGATCAAGTTGGAGAGAACTGACATCTTCAGTCCTTCATGAATATGGGATATCTCTCCATTCATTTAGTTTTTTTTGAGTCTTTCTATCCATGAATATGGGATATCTCTCCATTCATTTAGTTTTTTTATTTGTTTCAACAGTTTTAGTTTTCCTCATGGAGATTTTATATATATATATGATTTTTTTTTTTTAAGAGAGAGCAAGTGCTTGCTAGTGGTGGGGCAGGAGAGGGAGAGAGAATCTTTTTTTTTAAATATTTTATTTACTTATTTATGAGACACACACACACACACACAGAGAGAGAGAGAGAGAGAGAGAGAGAGAGAGAGAGAGAGAGGCAGAGACACAGGCAGAGGAAGAAGCAGGCTGCTTGCAGGGAGCCTGATGTGGGGCTTGATCTCCAGACTCAGGATCTGTGATCACACCCTGAGCCAAAGGCAGGTGCTCAGCCACTGAGCCACCCAGGTGCCCTGGGAGAGAGAGAATCTTAAGCAGGTTTCACACCCAGCACGGAGCTCAGTCTCACAACCCTGAGATTATGATCAGAGCTGAAATCAAGTTGGATGCTTGACAAACTGAGTAGCCCAGGTGCCCCAGAGATCTTATACAATTTTATTAGATTTGTACCTAAGCGTTTCATTTGTTTGAGTGCTAATGTAAATGGTATTGTGTTTTTAATTTCAAATTCCATGTATTTATTGCTAGTATATGGGAAAACAGTGGAATTTGTATATTAACTTTATATCCTGCAACTTTGCCATAATTGCTCAGTTTCAGGATTTTTTTTTGCCAATTCTTTTGAATTTTCTATATAGATGTTCATGTTATTTGTAAACAAAGACAGTTTTATTTATTTTTTTCTCAGTTACTATACCTTCTTCTTCCTTGTATCGTGTTATTATATTAGCTGAGACTTCCAGTATAATGTTGAGAAGGAGTTGTGAGAGGGGACATCCTTGACTTGTTTCTAATATTGGTGGGAAAGCTTGCAGTTTCTCACCATTTAATACATTAGCTTTTGGGGATGCCTGGGTGGCTCAGCGGTTAAGCATCTGCCTTTGGCTCAGGGCATGATCCCAGGATCTGGAATCAAGTCCCACATAGGGCTTCCTGTGAGGAGCCTGCTTCTCCCTCTATGTATGTCTCCTCGTTCTCTGTCTCTGTCTCTCATGAATAAATAAATAAATCTTTAAAAAATACATTATCTGCCAGTGCCAGTGGTGCAGCGGTTTAGCACCACCTGAGGCCTGGTGCATGATCCTGAAGACCTGGGATCAAGTCCCACGTTCAGGCTCCCTGCATGGAGCCCACTTCTCCCTCTGCCTGTGTCTCTGCCTTTCTCTCTCTCTGTGTGTCTCTATGAATAAATAAATAAAAAAAAATCTTAAAAAATTCATTAGCTTTTGGTATTTTATAGATACTCTTTATCCAGTTGAGGACGTTCTCATTCCTAGTGTACTGATAGTTTTCATCATTAATTGCTGTTGGACTTTGTCAAATGATTTTTTTCTACATTTTAAATAATGAACTATACTTTGAAGCAGCTACTATGAACTATATTTGAAGCAGCATGAGCACATGAGAGTGGGGAGGGGCAGAGGGAGAGAGGGAGTACACCCAATATGGAGCCTGACATGGGGATCAATCTCACAACCTTGAGATCATGACCTGAGCCAAAATCAAGAGTTGGATGTTTCGCTGACTGAGCCACCCAGGCACCCCAAGATTTTTTGATATTTTAATGTGATTTTTCTCCTTTAGCCATTGGTATGATAGATTAATTGATTTTCAAATGTTCAACCAGCCTTGCATACTTGGAATAAATCTCCAAATTTCACTTGGTCGTGGTGTATAACTTTTTATACATTGTTTGGTTTGATTTGCTAATATTTTGAATATTTTGTTGAATTTTGCTTCTGTGTTCATGAGAGATATTGATTTTTAATTTTCTTTTCTTGCTATGTCTTTGTCTGGTTTTGGTATTAGAGGAATCCTGGCCTTAGAGAATGAGTAAGGAAATATTTACTCTGCTTCTTCTGAAAATAATGTTCCCTCCTTTTCCTTTATTCAATTGTCTTAAAGAGATTTTAGAGAATTAGTAAAATGTCTTCCTTAAATATCAGATAGATTCACCAGTGGATTCATCTTGGTCTGGTGCTTTCTGTTTTGGAAGGTTATTAATTATCAATTCTTTATACCTCTATTTAATGTTTTGAGCATGTAGAATAGAATTATAATAATGGTTTTCATGTCCTTATCTAGTAATTCTGCAATCTGGATCAGTTCTAATTTGGTTTCAAGGCCATCTGGATGATCTGTGGGTTGTTTTCCATGGTTATATATTTCTCTTGGTTTTTGACTGAATGGTCTTGACTCCTTGAATACCTGATTATTTTTGATTGACTGCTGGACATTATGTATGAATGCACAGCTAGTTTGGGGCTCTGGATGATCTTAACTTCTTGCAGAGAGAATTTATGTTTGCTTCGGATAGCACTGGCCAAGGGCACCAGCAATCCCAGTAGCCTAATCTGGTCAGGGATTATGAGAACTTGAAGGTGGGCTTGCAAGCACTCTTCTGGTGTCCATCCACCTTCCCTTCTTGGGCCTGGCCCTTCGGGTCACTACTTTAAGCCCGGGCATTTGGCAACATGCCCTTCCCTTCCACCTGAGTAGGCGGTATGCTTTTTTTTTAAAGCAGAAATTTATTAAAATGCATTCATTGTGTTTTTTTTAATTTTATTTTTTTATTTTAAAGATTTTATTTCATGAGATAACAGAGAGAGAGAGAGAGAGAGAGAGAGAGAGAGAGATAAAGAGAGAAAGAGAGAGGCAGAGACACAGGCAGAGGGAGAAGCAGGCTTCTTGCAGGGAGCCTGATGTGGGACTCGATCCTGGGACTCCAGAATCAGGCCCTGTGTTGAAGGCAGTGCTAAACCACTGAGCCACCTGGCTGCCCATTCATTGTGTTTTAAAGGGAAAAAAATTGCATAGAGTCCTCCACCTTAAGGCTGCCAACTCTATTCTCAGAAGTACTTTGTCAGGCCATAGGGTTCTTTGCCCTTTCCCCAATGAAATAGTTCTATTTGTGCCTGAAAATGATGCATTTACTTGCATCATTTTTGTGCTCCTCGTCTCTCAGCTTTTAGCTGCCTTTACTGGAATTGCAGAGAGCTGCTTTTGACAGCAGTCTTCATGGGTGAATGGCCTGGCATTTTAGGTCCCTGCTCTGTCTCCTTTAATCTGTTCTTCTTTGTTGTTTTTATTGTTCTTTGATGTCTTTAAAGTGTATCTCTGTGTTTTTGGCAAATTTTGCCCCACTTCATGTCACTTTCATTGGGAGGTTGGTACAGATGAACTGGCCTGCCATGACCAGAGATGGAGCTCTCCTTGTTCTCGTGTTTGAGTGATGGCTTTCATGTCAAAGGGCCTACTGTCTGCTGACCGTCAGCTCAAAAGTACCTCACTCACTACAGCCCAGACGACCTGTGTTCTTTCCTGATTCCATCCCATTTTCCTTACACCACTGTTCACCTAGGATTTCAGCCTGGAACACTGGTCATCTTTGCTTTTGTCCCTTCCCTCATCTCTCAATGTCCATCAATCACAGGGTCTTCGGTTTGCTCCCCTCCCATCTCCATCCCTGCCACCCTTGTTCAGGTCTTTACTGTACTTGGTTTGGAATGTTTGGTCCCACTGTGTCCTCCCTGTGGTCCCTCTTCTGCACTTGCAGCAGTGTTACAAGCCTGAAAATGAGTCTGGCCATGGATTCTTCTGGTTATATATTCTCTGCTGGCTCACCAGTTTCCTTGTGCTCTAACAGGACTCCTTGCACAGCACCCAGCCTTGGTCAGTGTGCCTTATCTCCTAGCAACCCAAGCGCTCGCCTCCTCTTGAGGGTTCCTTGTCATTGCCTTATCCCTCCCTCAATGTCCATCACAGCCATGACTTCTTCTGGCAAGTAGCAGGGATGTGAGACACATTTGCTTAATTAATAGCTAATGAGGAAGTGGAAGAGCGAGGTGACCGGCATCATTGTCCTACTGTGTGTGATCCATGATGTGGAGTAACAGTGAGAGGGTTCACAAGAAAATAACTGAGTAGTACATTAACAGGAATTTTAATAAATGAGTTATAAATGAATATATGAAATAAATACATTTGAAAAATTCAATACATTTGACTTCTTTGGTTTGCAATTATGCTGTTATGCTTTTTATTCTTTAAATGTTATCTATATGGTTCTTGGTAGTTTTCTGTTAACTCTTTCAGCCTCGGGGCAGCCCAGGTGGCTCAGCGGTTTAGCGCCACCTTCAGCCTAGGGCCTGATCCTGGAGACCAGGGATTGAGTACCACATCGGGCTACCTCCATGGAGCCTGCTTCTCCCTCTGCCTGTGTCTCTGCCTCTCTCTCTCTCTGTGTCTCTCATGAATAAATAAATAAATAAAATCTTTAAAAAAAAAAAAAAACCTCTTTCAGCCTCTGACTCTACGAGGACACCATGAGCCAATTACTGCTGTGGCATTTGGAAATACAGTGAGTCCACTTCTCATCTGTTCTGCGTCTCAAGATTATGTTATAATGTGGAGTCTGGATGAATGCAGACGGAAAGTGCTTCAAGGTAAATAAACAGTTAAAGGATATTTTTAAAAATGCAGAAAGGGAAGAACTCATCCTTAAATAGACTTGGTAACATATAGGGGTTTGGGAGAATATTTCAGGCCTTTAACCTAACCCTTAACCTGAAACCATATACATGTCCAAGCTGGACATTTCCTGTTGGAAGCATACGAGGCATTCAGATGTACTGACCTTTGCTGTGGGTGAAGCTGACATGAAATAGGCTCATTATTTTTATTTTTATTTTATAAAGATTTTATTTACGAGAGAGCGAGAGAGATATCACAAGTGTGGGAGGGGCAGAGGAAGAAACAGACTCCCCACTGAGCAGGGGGTCTGATGTGGGACCCAATCCCAGGACTCTGAGATTTTGACCTGAACCAAAAGTAGATGCTTAAATGACTGATTCCCCCCCCCCCCCGCCAGACACCCTGGCTCATTAATTTTAATCTTACATATTTTCTTAGTTTGAAACCTGTGATTTTTATGGAACTCTGAAAACATGAGGGCAAGTAGAAATATTCTTTCCCTACAAACAGTGAGGAGAGGCAAACATGTATCAAACAGGCAAGCAAGCAAGTGGTTATCAGTTGTGGGGAGCACAGTAGAGAAGGCAGGTGAGGTGTAGATAGAGGATGTGGGCAGGATGCACTCACATGGTGTCATTTCTGGGGAGGTGACTTTTGAGTTGAAGGTTGAGGAGGAGTGTGATGGAAGGGCAGGTGCCTGCCAGTGCTACCATGCTGGGTGGCAGAGGCATTCATGCATGCTTGGGGCTTGTGAATCAAGAACTCATCCTGTCGGCACAGCTGAGAAGGTGCCCGTGGGTTGGGAGCATGGTGACGGTATAGTTTTATCAGATGAAGGTGTTTGAGCGCTAATTAATCACACTGAGAATTTGTAGGACTGCTCCAGAAAACATGTGATGGGATCTCAAGTAGCAGCATGTGCAATAGTTTATACCACACCTCATGTCATTTGTTGTTGAGCCTCCAGTGTCAGTGCATCACCGTAGCATGCACACACATGTGGATAGAACACACAGAAATATAGTAAACATGTATACAGCATACACACACATGTATATGCACACAGTGTATGTGTGTAGTGCTCACACACGTGTATCTAGTGTACACATGTACACACATATACACACTACAGGATACGTCCATGTATGTACACACATGTACGTCTGTACAGCAAACCACATGGTCATTACCCGCTCCCTGCAGAAGTCTTTGTTAACGTTGGAAGGGGCTGCACTTCCCCAGTTTATTTTTAGGTTGCTCTTCAGAACCTGTGTGGATTTTGATCCATGGTGTGTGCTCCGTGGCCAGTGTGTCAAGCCCGGCCGGGTCACAGGCCTGGTGCTCATATGGAGCCCAGCACGGTGTTTGGAGCTGCTCCTGTGTCCTGAAGCTCCAGCCATGGGACAAGAATAAGCTGCCCCACCCTCAGTTCAGGGACGCTCAGGCCAGCGACTGTGCTCCTGTGGCAGGGACACGACGCAGCTCATCCATGTGTGGTCTCTGTGCCTGCAGTGGGAGGGGCTGCTACATTCCAGCACCGTCCTGCCCAATGTGGCTTATGTTTGCACTTGGACTTAGGGGGTGGTTATCCCTTGTCCCCAGTCTCCTGTGCGGGCTCCTTGTCTCTCTCTCACCTCTTCACTTGGGAATATGGGCTTTTCCTCTTTCTCATCAAAAATCCCTCCTTTGATGATGACAGCAGACACTGATGGCTGCCGCCTATCCTCTCGCCCAGTCCTCATTCCTGACTGTGGTCTCACGTGTGAATTGCTCCTGGACATCTCCATGTGGATGTTGGACAGCATTGCAGGCTTCCCTGCCCTGATCACCTCTCCCCCCACCTGCCTCCCACAGCCTTCCCATGCAGCAGCCCAGGTCAGAAATGACGGTGTCATGCTTCCTCCTCCCTCTGCGTCCCTGCACCCCCACACCTCCACACGCAACCGACCCCACCTTCCATCTGCTTTACCTTCAAAACCTATCCAAAGTCTAGGCCCCGCACACACCTGCCTTCACTGCTGCCCTGCAGTCCAGGGCCCTGAGATCACTCACCAGGGTTATGACGCTGGCTCCTCCTCCTTCACCTGCCCCGGTGCTCTCTTCTCAACTCCATAGCTGGGGGTCCCTGTAAAATTGGAGTGAGTGTGCCACACTTCTGCCGAAAGCCCTCCAGTGCCTTCCCATCCCATGCAGACTAGGATCTGACACAGGTGTGGGACCCTCAGCTGAATCCCGTCTCCAGGAACAGCCCAGGCATGGTCTGCCCCCGGGCCTTTGCATCTGCTGCTCTGTCTCAGGATCACTGTGGATTCAGCTGCACCCTTGCTGTGGCCTGACCACTACCCTGGGTCCCAGCCCCTTTGCGTGCTTTGCTTTTTCTTACAGTGTTCACTACCTTCTGGCATCATACATAATCTGTTTACTTATTTTGTTTATTGGTGTCTAAGTGCCCCACTGCCTACCCCAGGGTAAACTTTCCATGAAGGCAAGGCTTTGTCTCTTGGCTCACTGACTTATCCCAGGTACCTCGGGAGTTGCCTGGGGCAGCACAGGTGTGTGTTGAATACTCAAGAAATGAGACCGTGGGCTTGGCCCAAATAGAACTCCGTGTGATATGTGCACGTTTCCCTTTCTGTAGGTTCGTGGTCTCATGTTGACATGACCTTGTTGGACAGCAAACAGCCCCAGTCTCAGGGCCCAACCACAGTGGCACTGAGTCCTTGCTGCGTGGTGGTGGTGGGGGGGTGTTGGTTGGGAGGCCCTACTTGAGCCTGTGGTTTGGCTTGTGTTGTCACCTTGGTCCCACAGGCCTGCCTGGACAAATCCTCATGGGGGTAGAGAGGTCCTGGAGGCTCAGACGTGCCTTCTGTGCCTTCTGCGCCTGCCTGTCTCTCATGGCCCCGAGCAGCTCACGTGGCCATGCCCCAGTGGTGGTGAAGTCACAGGGAGGAGGAAGGATGGGGACCGCGGGCTGTTCTGTGAGACCTTCATGTGTAAGCACATGCAGGTGTGATGACACGGGGTCATTTTCTGATGGATGATTCCTGTGTTCCACATATACTGGAAGGACTGTTTCCACTCGATGTTTTTAATCCTCTCAGGGAGCCAGAGTCACACCAAAGCACATTGTTATTCTGCATGTAATTTTAGAGTAGAGGGCTGCGGGGTCAGGGTCTCCCTGTGGCTTGATGCAGTGATACTAAGGTTGTTGACACCCTTCGATAACCTGACACTAACGCTGAACCCCCCTCTAGGGCTGAGTCCTCGAGGGGTCGTCATGGGCACCCTTCTGGGACAGGTGCTGTGTTTGAGGTTGAGCCCGGATGACCGTACAGTTGCTGTATGTGCTGGAAATAAAATATTGATGCTGGATATTGAGGTAAGAAGGTTCGATGCCTGCCTGCATGCAGTTTAGCAGGGCCCAGCGCTGCCAGGCTTACCACGGGGCCCCCATCTGCCTCTCATCAATAGGATTCTTTTTTTTTTTCTTTTTAAAGATTTTATTTATTTATTCATGAGAGACACACAGAGAGAGGCAGAAACACAGGCAGAGAAGTGGGCTCCTTGCAGGGAGCCTGATGCAGGACTTGATCCCAGGACCCCGGGATCACGCCCTGAGCTGAAGGCAGAAGCTCAATTTCTGAGCCACCCAGGCGTCCCTCATCAACAGGATTCTTAACTGGACAATGAAGGAAACATATCTTTGTCTTGCACTTGGAAAGCTGCAGGAATCAGAGACTGCTGTTTTACATCAATTATGAGACCAGTCCATGACATCAGGCTATCCGGAGGTTAAACGAGCATGATCGGTCACTTATTTCTCTGATTTTCTCTTCCGTTGGTGACCAGAGACAAGCCCTCCCAGGGCAGTGCTTTCGTGTATCTTTTTTTTTTTTTTATCAAACTTGCTTTCTGTCAGCAACTGGACTTTTTTCACTTGTCTCTTAACTGAGGTTGGTTTAAGTAAACGTGTCTCCTCTTCCAGGCTCTGCGACGTCTGACTAGGGCAAGGGAGCGCATTAGGCTCACCAGGCATGAGAGTGCAGGAGCGGGGCTGGGGGTATGAGGGAGGCCTCCCGTTCCCTCAGAATTCATGTGCTGCTAAGGCTTCCTTTGGCTTCTGTTTGCCAAATGAATGCAGCTCACAACTGTTTGCCTATGAGGAATTTTCTGCTATGTCCACTTAAAAAAAAATCTGGGTTAGGGAGGATATTAAGCATAAAATCTTAGTTGAGGATTAATTGACGGTGGGCTTGCTGTGTGCTAGGCATGTGGGACATAGAATGTACATTTCTGTGTTCATGCAGATTTTGGCCAAGTTGTGCAACTGAGGCTCACGCATAACAAGACGCTAACGTTGTAAGCGGAGTCTCAGGTGATGGGAAAGTTCCTAGGATTCAGGGGTTCTGTTACAACACCTACCACATGTAGCAAAGCTCAGCAGCCTCGTGTTGGGAGAAGGAGCACAGAGGAGCCAGGAGGACACCAAGCCCTGTCGACGTTGGCGGGAAGGCAAGGATGATGAACCTGAGTCTGGCCTCCAGCACGCAGACAGAAAAGCGAGGTGGCAGGGGTCTGTTCCAGGCTGTGTGCACCTAAGTCCTTGGTGGGCCTGTGAAGCACGAGACTTACCAAGGCACTAGCTCACCGGATGTGCACGGGCTGCCAACCAACACACGAAGTGTTGTAGTTCTTTTAACAGTACACGTCATAGTGGCTGCTTTGTGGCCTTTGCTTTGAGAGACTTACATGAGTAGAGAACACTTACACTGATGTCAGACATGATCACAAATAACAAAGGGAAGCAAGGTGTTTTCCAGGATGCGGCGTTATTAACAGGCAGAAATGCGTATTTCCTAGCATCCAGGCTGGAAAGTTTCCTTGTCCTTGGGCACAGTGGGACCTCCCTTTCTGTCTCTAACTGCCTGCTGGCAAAGAAGCCTAAGATAGCAGTGTTTCAGTTGTGTTTGTCAAGGGTTTCAGGTTGCGGTATTGCAAGTCTTTGAGGGTGAAGCACTTCCTCATCAGTTGGGTCCCTGTGTGGATGCAGATATGTCTATAATTCCCGTGTGTGTCTGAGGGGGTATTTATCTTGTCTGCTGGATGCCGTAGTGTTGAAGAGCAGTCCTGATGCCAGGCGCCTGGAGTCCCACAGGGATGTCACTTGCAGGGGTGACTTGTCACCATCCCTCCACTGTGCTGTGTGATTCTGGCTCATGAAAGCAGCTTCTGGGGCTGCCTGGTGAGAGCGGGTTTCAGGGACTTCAGAGGAAGGAAAGCTCATCAGCAGTGGGAGCACCACGTCCTGTGTCCTGTTTGATCTTAGGATGCCCTTGCAGCTGCCCACGGGGTGTGGATGGGAAGGTGGGAGGGCCCCTGAGCTGTGCCTGCTGCATGGCTCTGCTCAGGATTGACCTCAGGTCGCTTCGTTTCTAAAATTGCCATGCACGTGTCCTTGAGCAGCTTATGCTCCTGCAGCTCAGCCTTCTGAATTTTAACAGGTAGTTTCGCATTGGGAAGAGGGAGTTTCTAGAGTTTATTTGAACAGAAACTGTTTTCTGTGAGATATATGTCATTTCTTAAGAACAATAATTACCAGAACATTCAGTTCCTGATCTTCTTCACAAACTCTCCCAGAGCCGGTCTATACTCACTGAGCTGGAGGGTCACCGGGGCCACGTGACTGCAGCTGAGTTCTGTCCCTGGCAAACACATATCATCATCTCCGTGTCTGAAGACAGAAGCTTCAAGGTAGGGGCGTGGGCACGGGAGTACTCGAGGTGCTGTCTGGGGGACCGTGGACACACCCGCCAGGCCCGTCTGGTCTGAGGTCACCGTGCACACGTGATTCTTGTTTCAACCACACTTCTGTCCTGAACTTGGCCTGAGGTGTCGTCTGGGCATGTCTCAACATTCGTCAGCAGGCCTGGGTCAGCTGCGGGACCCTCCTCCTCAAATCCAGGGCCTTGGGGAGCTAGAACACTAACATACCCCTGGTGTTTCCTGGGGTCAGAGCGGAAGAGCATTTTCCAATCAGAGGATTCAGTCAGAACCAAACTGAGCTTACAAAGACCATAATTTAAGATGCCAGCACCTTCCCATCCAGCTCCAAGTCAGCTAGTGTTAGGATTATTGTCCTATTGATCGAGGGAGGACGTGTAGAGCATGGTTGGAAGAGGAGTTGAGGGCGGTTCCTGTCCACCTGTGGAGTGGGAGAGGAGAGAGGCCAGAACACTTCCTCGGTCACCTGGAAGTGTCTGCCCCACAGACCCGGCCTCACAGGGGCTGCTTGCCTTGCTCGGAGTGGGCCTCCTGGGGTCCAGCCCAGCCCCAGCCCACCCAGCTGCTGTGGGCAGATGAGCTGTGCCACACCTCTGCTCACTTGGATCGAGATGAGGGTGCCCGTTGTCTCATGGGGTTTTTGAGAAGGGGAGCTGATGTTGGGAAGGCACTAGAGTGTGCCTGAAAACTCAGGCCCTGCAGCCCGGATGGCAGTGACTGTGGCTGGCACACCTCTTCTAGGCAGCGTCGATCGGGTGCTGGAGATGTCTGCAGCCCTGTCTCGGGTCTTCCAACTCCATTACTTCTGGAAATGTTAGCCTTTTCTTTTTCACATGCTTCCGACATCTTTTATTGTGTTCCTACACTTTTGTTATTTATATGGCTATTTTATTATTTTCTCCTTTAGGAAACTGCTCACACAAATTAATTTGTAACTGAGTAGAAATATTAGTTCAAACTACATCAGTAATGGCAAAATTTGTATCTTGTAAAGAAACATGTGTCTTTCCCAAGGTTTGGGATCATCATGTGGGATCGTTGATCTACAACTCACCAGTGTTAACAGGTAACTTAAAACTCGCCCGTGGAGTGCAGTTTTCTCAGTGTGTTTATATGCTGGGGTTGTCCCATTGAAGGGGGTCTGAGGGTCCCTCAAAAGTAGCTGTGTCCCTCCCAGCCACACGTTGTAAGGATTCACTTACCAAGTATTTCCTGAAGCTTTAAACTTAAAATTATTTTAAGTGTAAGCTCACAGTCTGAAAAGCTTCCTGGTGGGCTGGAGGAAATGTGCTGTCCACCTCTTCTGTCCACAGAGGCAGGTGCAGTGCCAGAGGATGTGCTTACCTGGGAAGCTCTATAGGCCCTGAGCCCTTGGCCACTGTGCGCTCTCCTCCAACTGTCTGTTTGGTGGTGAGTCATTACAGCATGGTCATGTAGGTCCCTGAAGAGCCTGCTGCCCCCTCCAAACCCCCTCCAGACACCTCCTGGGAGTGTGGTCCTAGCTCACATCCTACTGTACATGTGGCTTCTTTCTTGGGATGAATCACAGGAAAATACAACTTAACGATCGTGCAGGTGCATTGTGACCCAGTGGAGTTCCTGCGGCCCTTCCCAAGAGATTTGGTGTTCCTCCTGACATCAGTGACCCTGTGCTGAGTGGGATATTCTAGGAACTTAAATGCAATCTCGGGGACAAGTGCATTTCTTGGAATTACGTTGTAATTATCTTCCTGAAATTAATTTGTGGACTTATTATTTGACGGTCCAGAAAACAATTACTAATTTGATGTCATTTGTAGTTTATTTAGGATGCGTAGTGTTTTTAAATGTCCATTTATCTTAATTTTCCTTCTGAATTCCTGACAGTTTAGATTCAGAATAACTTTTATTCATTTATTTTAAACGATTTTCTTTCTTTATTGGAGAAAGAGAGAGACAGAAAGAACATGGGTGAAGGGAGGGGCGGGGGGAAAGGGAGAAACAGACTTCCTCACTGAGCAGGGAGTCTGATATGGGGCTTGATCCCAGGACCCTGAGATCATGACCTGAGCTGAAGGTAGACATCTAAGCCACTGAGCCACCCAGGCACCCCCAAAATAGCTTCTAGGTGAAAGGACATGCTAGGCAACAATTTAAACAGTGGGCATCATTTAATTGCTATTTTCCTGACTAATCCCATAAGTTTGTTTTCTTTGTTACAAGTCTAATGGTTATTGGGTGCTAGTGCTTTTTGTAGTGTGGGTGATGGAGCCTCTGGACCTCAGTGGCCCTGAAGTGGTTTGCATGGTCTGTGAGCTGCCCCCAGGCTGATGATGTGGGACAGCTTCGCTACCTTCCCCTGCTCACAGGTCTCAAAATGGCTATGCACTCACAGTTTCTATTTCCCAGTGAAGAAATTATTTTGGGATAGTTCAGACTTGACTAAAAAAAGTATTATACATAAAACTCAGATGGTTTTCAGTTTACATACTACAGGTAAAAAATCGTGTATTCTCTCTACAGCCTTCCCTCTCCTGAGTCTCCTCATTGATGCCAAGAGCAGACAGCTAGTGACGGGATGTGCAAACGGCCAGGTAAGGGAAGCACCAACTGTAATTCCAGGTCCAGACATGATCATGACCACGCGAGCATCCGCGGAAAGGTCTCCGCTTGCATTCTTTGTGATTTGAAGAAACTGTCGGCCCCAGAGCTTGGGCCCTTCCTTTTGGGGCCTGGGCGTCAGGCTCGCACGCACCCGCCCACTGCTGGCAGAAGAGCCAGCTTTACATAGTTTGAAAAATTTGAAGATACTTGATTTCTTTAAAACTTAGTTTTTTAGGTGAGCAATTCAGGTGGACTTCACAAAGCGTGGATACTGTTTTCTTTTAAAAAAGTTGCTGTTGTGATAATCTGGGCAAGATACCATATTAGGAAATAACTCCGTTCTCGCTCTTGCAAGAGTCCTTTACCTTCACATGAATGCCTTGCTTCCGACACCCTGGTGACCACGGGTGTGGGGGTCCCTGCACACCAGGCGGTTCTCCAGCATGCCCATGGGGTGTCCTACGATCTTACTCAGTTCTGACACTGTCTGCTGGAGACCCGCAGGTGAGGGGCCGGGTCCCATGCGATGACACCCCCTTCACACGCTGATCACATGTAGTAGGTCCTGGGCAACCTGGCTATAGACTGGACGTGCTCACACCCCCAGCTTTGGGTAACATTGATTTGCTAGAGCGACTTGCAGACCTCAGGGAAATGCTTATTTGCCCGTTTGCCAGTCAATTTTTCTTTAAAGATTGATTTATTTGAGAATGAGAGAGAGAACATGAGCAGGAGGGGCAGAGGGAAAGAGCATCTCAAGCAGACTCTCTGCTGAGCATGGAGCCCGACACAGAGTTTGATCCCATGACCCTGAGATCACAACCTAAGCAGAAACTAAGAGTCAGATGTTTAACTGACTGAGCTGCCAGGTACCCCCAGTTTACCTGCCTAATAAAGGGTGTGATAAAGGACAGACAGCAGCCAGTTGGAGGGGCACGTATGGCGAGGTCTGGAAGGGTCACCCTTGTGGTGGGGGCTGCAGGTGTGTTCACCAACCTGGAAGCTGGGTTTTCATGGAGGCTTCATTATACAGGCCGGACTGATGAAGCCATAAGCCACTGGTCACTGAACCCTCCCCTGAGGTCAAAGGTGGGATGGAAAGTTCAACCCTCTCATCAGGGGATTGGTTCCCCTGGGAACCGGCCCCCACCTTCACGGCTTTCCCAAGGTCACCTCGTCATCACCACCGAAGATGCCTTTGTCACTCTCATCACATAAGAAGTTCCTAAGGTTTCAGGAACTTTGTGCTGGAAACGGGGGGGGGGGGCGGCCAAAAATATGTATTTCCTGTTATAAATCACAACATCACAGATGTATTTCTGGAAACTAAGAAATGTTATTTTTGTTTTTGACAAAGGTTTTGCCCAGCGACGTGCTGGATATATTCACAGCTGTGTGTTGGTGGTGCTGGGTTCAGAGAGGCTGGTGTGGACCAGTGGGAAGCAGGGTTGTGTCTGCACCTGCAGGCTGCGGTCTGAAGCTTGGAGGCTCCGGGTGTGCAGGGTCACCCAGACAGGCTTCAGGTGGCCAGGGGCTGGTCTCCTGCCCCACACCTTTCTCACTGGGCTGCTCACTGGTGCCCTCTGATGACACTGACCTGTTATGTCTGTTTTGCTTTTCCAGCTTTGGATCTTCAGTTTGGTTGAGGGACATCATTATCGTTGTGTGACTCGTGTGAGCCTAAAGAAGAAGAGTGAGAGTTTCTCTAGGAGGGTTGAGTCCAGGCTGTGCAGCCTGCCGGGTAATGTCACTCAGAGTCCTCCTTGGGTCTCCTGTCTCTGGGGCTCCTGCCCTCAAGGCTCCTCCCCTGCCCTCAAGGCTGCTGCCCTCTGGGCTCCTGCCCTCAAGGCTCCTGTCCCTGGGGCTCCTGCTCTCAAGGCTCCTTCCCTGCTCTCAAGCCTGCTGCCCTTGGGGCTCCTGCCCTTAAGGTCCCTGCCCTCAAGTTTCTTGCCCCTGGAGCTCCTGCCCTCAAGGCTCCTGCCTTCAAGGCTCCTGCCCCTGGAGATCCTGCTACTGCCCACCCCCCTATCCAGGGCTCCCTCTCAGCCTGCCAGGGTCCCATGTCAGGTGAACCGAAGGGAGAGCAGGGCAGGGACAGTTGTTATTGGGACAAGTCTGGCATCTGACCTCAGACATCCAGCAGCACCAGGCTGGTCTTGTGAGGGGACGGGGGCGCAGCGGGAGCTCATACTTGTGTGCACAGCATTGGGCCGGGGGGATGCTGCGGTCTGGTGATCAGGAGAGAACCTGCCCCCCCAGCCCAGGGCAGCAGCTTCCCAGCTTCTGTGGGTTGTCATGGAGCCGGGGCCCCCATCCTGCCTGAGCCAGCCCCATCTCTGTGCTGAGGCCTCTCCCTCAGCCCACGGTGTGTCCACTTGGCCGCGCCTCACTTCCTTGCCGGTCGCTCTAATATCTCCCCAGAGTGTCTCTAAAGGAGCGAACACTGCTGGAAACACAAGGCGCGGTGGTGGTAGGGAGTGAAAAACCGAGTGGGGATATTGGGGGAGGGGCATTGTGGGGTGCGGGAGAGGTAATGCATTTGGTGGAAGGGAGGAAAAGATTTTAGGGAAGAATTATAGTGGAAACGACAAGGGGAGGCTAGGGGAGGGTGAAGGGGGGGAGGGGGTATGGGTGGGAGGAGAATGACGTAGGGAGGGGGGTTTTGGGATGTTTATTTGTAAGGTGTATTGGGTGAGGGGGGAGGAAAGTTGGGAGGGTTTGGGGGAGACCGGAGGATGGGTGGGAGGGTCCGGTTGGGAAGGGCTTGAAGGTGGGGGGGGGGTTAAGGGTCAAGGAGGGAGGTTTTTATGTAGGATTGTGAAGGTGGAAGGGTTTCAAAAACAATAAGGGAAGGAAGAATAATAAGATAGTCTGGCGTGAAAGTGAGGAGCGGGGTGGGTTTTTAGAGTTGGGAAGGGCTAAAGTGTTCGTGCGGTTAGATGAATGGGGGGGTGGCCAGGAGTACATCAACTTACTGCAGGATGGTGGCCTATTGGGGGGAGATGAGAATGGTGATGGATATTGTTTTCTGTTCCTAGAGGAGAGTCAGCGTCCCTGCACACACGGCCTGGAGAAGGGAGACGAGGTCGAAGCAAGCCTCCCCGTCCTGGGGCTGGTGCCCTGTGACCTGTCAGCCATCATCAGCGCCCCGTGTGTGTGTGGGTGAGTGTGATGACCTTGGCCGGCGCCCTGTGAGGAAGGCCTCCTAAGTTAGGTTCATTTTTTTTAAGAATGATTAAAATAAAGCCAAGTGTTTTTGTTTGAGAAGTAATAGCTGGTAAGTGTTGTTCGGATTGCATATTCTAAGTCTTAAAGTCGGTAAACTTGGTCAGTTATTTTTAAGTATGTTTAATAAAAGAGATGAAATTGTTTTTAATTTTGCTCACCAAAACCTAGGCAGATCCTGATTCTGCACAGGTAAAGGGGGATATAATCAAACTCATTCTATACCTCCCCCAGCTGCACTGCCTATCAGACTCTAAAGAATGTATTAGGCTGGCTTTCACCACTGAGCACAGAAAGCTCCAGGGACAACGAGGCACAAGCCTCTGGTCTCCTTGGACAGAGTGGGGATTATTGGGATGGGGAGCCAGCAGTGCTGGGTCTGCTGTGCTGGAGCTCCTTGAGGGTCAGGGCCAGGGCTTCTCTCCTGGGGTGTACACTGAGTTGTTCAGCCGACTTGGGGATGGCTGTGGGAGCATAAGGGCCCAGAATGAGCCCAGGAAGTCAGGGTGGTCAGAGGAGGCTCCAGGGGACTGAGAGGCAGGAGGGAGAGAGGGCACCAAGAGTCTTGAGAGTCCCAAGTCTGGCACAGCCTGAGGAGGCCTGTTGGTCCCTTTATTAATATTTATCTAGTTTGTATGATAAAACATAGAAGAAAAAGCAGAGTTGGGTTTGCCTTTGGCTCTCTGCTACTTCTTTCCATTTCCTGTTGAGCTGGTTACCTCCTTTACAACACCACCTGGCAGGACCAGCAGGTGCAGCACTGCCCCTCTCGCAGGGACGCCCACCTCCGAGAGTCCCGTAACCTCAGAGAAAGGGAAACCTTGCAGATTATAGTTGAGCTAGAATCAGGTTGTGGCTGGTTAGTACTTGTTTTTACCAGACAGCAGGTGTCCAGGAGACCCGAAACTCCAGCCTAGTCAAGGACAGTTCTAGATCATCAATGCCAAGAGCCAGCCACCTGCAAGAACACGTGGAGGGCCACTCAGTGGCATGCCATGGGATGGGAGCCTGAGGAGTGAGACCAGCTCTTTGTTTTTCCTTTTCCCTTTACAATTAGGCTTTCTTCTGAGACTACCTCATGCTTGTGGATTGGAAGCTCAGCTGGCTTATTCATATTTAACTTGGCAAACTTTGAATTGGAAGCGGCTTTACATTATAGGGGTAAGATCACAGTTCAGATCATCTTTGATACAAATTTCATGTTATGTCAATTACTTTTTTCCTCTGACATCTGGGAGGGTGACACTTCAGCATAGAAGGCCTAGTCATTGGGTGTGCTGGGTGTGCAGAGTGGTTAGGCCACAGGCAGCCTCCCCACGGGATCCCAAGATCCTAAGTTCACCCCGTCAGTATTTCCTGCTAGAGTCTTAATACCTGTGACTGGGGACTGGTCGGACTCCAGTTGTCTGAACTGAGCTGGGGTGCCCTCCTGCCCAGCTCTGGTTCCAGTCCTCAAGGCCCTGTGACCACCATGCACTGAGCTGCCCCTGCTGGAGATGTAGACATGATGAAGGCTGTACGGTAGCCAAGGTCACCCATAGGTACAAGCTCCCTTCTTTCTCTCTTAAGGCCCCTGAGCTTTGGGGACAGAATTTGGGTCCTTACCTGGGCCCGCCGGGGCCTTGGTCCTCACAGGAAGTCACTGCACCTTTGCATCACTTACAGGACTTGGCCTGAACCCTCCAGACCTCTGCTGGCCTGAGTTCCTGTTCCTCCTCCTCCCGCTCATGCTTGTAGCTTCACCTGAGCCTGTCCCCCGATCCGGGTGGGTGTCTGTGCTCCCGGGGATGGTGTTTTTCTCTGCAGCTACGCTGTGCACTGTGTCTGTGGTCTCTGTAGGACCCTGCCCCTCCGTGACTCCAGCAGCTCTTGCCCTGGGGGTAGGGCTTCTGTGATGGCCTTGCTCCTCGAGACACAACAGCCCCTAGCACAGGACCATGGGCAGCAGGCATGCGGGCACATGGTGAACGAATGTGTCAGTGAGTGTGGCTAGTTCCCTCTCCTTACCCTGTCAGCATTGCTTGCTTGTTTCTCTTTGCTGAAAATTAAGATTTCAGGAGCCTCAGCATTCACTTGGCAGGATCATGTGCAGTGATGAGCAAAGTCAATGATGATAAGGTCAGTCCTAAAGTGTTTACTGCCCTCAGCCTGCAGAACGCACTGCCCGTACTTGTGCTTTGTACTCACGTTGTGCCACATAGGATGGCATGGTTGGCTTAGTGGGGTCTCATGGGTGGCATTTTATGAAGCACACAGTGGCCATGGGGCTACACTGTAACTCCCGGGGTCATTGGAGCAGATTAATTTGTACAGAGCTGGGCTTTGACTGGAGTTGTGAGTGTGTGATCATTGCTGACTGTACCCTGCAGGCCATCTGCTTACTCACATCCTTGTTTGGCCGGAAGATCGTCATGTTGGAGATCCGTGTTGCTGCTCTGGTGAGGTCTCAGCAGGGTCACGACGCAGGAAGGCATCTATCGGTGCTGCCCCGGTATGGCCTTCCTGAGTAGGGTATACATGGGCAGCTTGACCAGCTGGGAGAATTTTGATTCCTTTCTAATCTTGAGAAAGAAAAATAAAATTCAGTGAACTCCCTGAACTGTACTGTTTGAAAGAAGTTATTGCTCGTGGCATTGCTTCTACCTTGTTTAATGCTAAACGATTGATAGTTTATGTTAATGCAAAACTATTTATTTTATGGAATAGCACTTTTATGAAAAATATTAAAAATTTTTTCTTAGATTAAGAATAAACATGTGTGCAAGCACTGCATGCCCGTATCTACAGGAATCATCGCTGGTGACTGTCCTTATACTGTGCGTTTCCGTGGTACAAGGCCAGTACGTGACTTTGCTGTCCTGTGTGCTTCTGTTCCTACCCTAGCACCTGTGTTGGGCCCACCTCTCCACTGTGCTTCACAACTGCAAAGGAAAGCAAGAACCCGCCGGCACCTCAGAGGCAGTCTGGTTAGTGTCCTGTGGCCTGCAGTGTCAGAACACGAAGCCCTGTCCTGCTCCGTGACCCCGTACTAGTTGGCACCATTCACTTACTTTGTGAATTCTCGTGTGTCCTCCCCACCCCGGTGTTCATTCTTCATTTCTCTGCCTCTCGTGTACATTTTTCTGTGAGGTTGGTGGTAGGGAATATGCTAGATGTGTCTTTTCCTGGATTGGGTATCATTCACAAGAATTCAAGAACATTTAAAAATTGCTGATGGCTCTAGTAGCCAGAAGAGCAGCTTACTTGGGGATACTCAGTTATCTACGAAGGGAACAATCTCTTCTTGCCTCTCTTTGCTGACAAATTTTAAAGCAAATCCCAAACATCCCATTAGTTTACCCCTGCATACCTCAGTATGCATTTCTAAAACATGTGGACATTGGCTTACCCAGCCATGACGCTTTTATATCAAATCCAACAGTATTTCTTTGGTGTTTTACATTAGCCAGCCCACCTAAGCTATTCTCGGTTGTCTCAAAAAATTTTGTCATTGTTTTATTATAAGCAGAAAATAAATCCACATGTTGCCTTTTACAAAGATATGATTTCAAAAGTAACTTGTTTTAAGATGATAAGCTTTATCACATTCCATTTATTTCCATTGTAAGAATAATTGATAATGAGGTTTTTTTTTTTTTTCCTTCAGTGACCAACCCAGAGTCCAGTCTTGTTAAGCCCCTTAGTGACCTAATTAAAAAAACAATAGAGATGCTCGTCAGTCTGCTTTTCTCTCCATCTTTGGGGAGGGACCCAGCTCCTGCAGTAGGCAGGACAGGGTGGGATGGGGTGCCCCCTGTGAGGACCTCTCCTCCCCTGCCCAGATGGGTATCTGTGTCCATCCGTCCCCTCCTTTCTCTGTGAGATCTTCTGAAATTCATGACTCTTCTCTCCCCATGCCACTGAGCCCTTCAGGAAAAGATAGTGTAGAGCCCCCCCACTGGCTGACTTTTTAATAATTCTCTTAATACCAAAAATAATTTTATGTTAAGTATATGTTTCTATTAAAATTATTTGGAAAACTTGTGAGTAAGAAATATTAAATGGCTAACAGTTGGAATAAAAAACTAGGTTGTTTAGATAATATTCTGAAATTCTAAATATAATTTTTAACTTAAAATTTCTTATGGGATGAAATCTCTGTTATGTGACTAATGATGCATTAGGTTTCTTCCCTGTAAGCGTGGCAGCTGTTTTCACATGTTGGCAACCTTACATTTCAGGAATATAATCTTACAGCGCACCTCCATGTGGAAATCCGTTGTGAAATGAGACACATGATTCTCTCTCCTGCTTTTCTTTTTTACTTTACTCATTTATTTATTTAGCTTTTGTTCTTGCGTATGTTTTATTTAGATTTACCCTTAAAAATGGATTTTATTTCCAATTTTTGCTAGTATGGGTCATCTTACTTAGATGGGGGTATATGATACACCACGCTTCATGGCTAAATGTTGCGTAGAGCAAAACTTTTGATAAGAACAGTTGTATAGATAATAAGGTTTATTATGGAGATTATAATTTCTCTGTATCGAGAGAGAGGTAAAACCTCAACATGTTGATCTTTATGCCAGTTTTTATATCTTGTTTAAAAAATATTCGTATGGAAAATTAATGAAAATGACTGATTTATAGCTATCCTATAATCTAAAAAAATACATCTCAGTGTAATAGAAATAAGAAATACTTGTGATAAAGAACTGTTTTATTTTAATGCTTAGGGCATTTATTAAAATAATATGCATTTACATATTTATGACATTTATTCTAGTAATCCAAGACTCTCTTATAATGAAGTACACTAATGGATCTGTAACTTAATAATTCTCTTAATACCAAAAATAATTTTATGTGATCCTGAAAGTATTTTCCCGTTGGTTTTATTTTTCTTGGAGGAGATTTTTTTTTTCTCCTTCACTTGACACTGAGGTGGAGAGAGGTTTTCTGGGTCCCCTCTGGGTACAGTTTTATTTCCAGGTCTCCCCTGAGGTGCTTGCCATCCCCTGGGTGGGACTCTTGCTTTGTAAGCCCGGAAGGGAAACCTCCCCCCTGTTCCTCGGTCACATAGATGCCATTTTAATGATTTGCTCATTAGCTTCACTTGGTTTTTGGAGGGAATATGGTCCCGGTTATCAGGTATGAAATAGTGCCAGAAACAGAACTGAATTTCTTTGTTTAAAAGAAAAAAGGAGAGCAGTTTTTAAAATAATTGAATATTGTGCAATTATCCGTTTTTCTGAGGTTATTTTATACCTTGGTATAGAATATTCACACTGGATACCAAGTATTAAACATATATAAAAATAAATGATTCTAGCAGAATTTTATTTTGTTTGAAATAATTTTTGAGATTTATAAATATTTGTGGTGTTCACCCAATGTCAGAGTTTTTACCAATTGGCGGTGTTGTGGAAGACTGGTTAAAAATAGGGTAAGTTTCATTGCCATTAAAAGACCCTGGCGTAATTATGTTTTAGTGGCTTATCTTTCTTGTTACTCTATCTTATGATAAATAAGAGTATACAAGAGAAATTTGAGTGATTTAAGATAATGGCTATTCTTATTTGTAGAAAAGATGTATTTGTCACAGGTTTGTAGAGTGAATTCCTCCCGGATGGCTGATTTTTAGCATCTGATGGACACAATTTCCCATAGACCAGGTTTTGTGTGTGGCCTGTTTTATGACAACAGGAGCTGACGTGCTAGAGTCCATAGTATTATTGAAATATGAGGTCTTGAACATACTGTGATTCAGTATCATTTGAGGAATGAGAAAAACATTATTTTGCTGTTTTCTTCTGCTTTTGATGCCATTGATATAACCTTCTTTGCTGGTGGTGGTTGGTTTGGACTCAGGTTTGAAACCTAAGTTTATGGGGACTAACCTCATTCCATTTGCATGAACTTTCTTTCTTTTTTTTTTTAAAGATTTTTTTTATTCATGAGAGACACAGAGAGGGGGGCGGGGAGAGAGAGAGAGAGGCAGAGACACACACAGGCAGAGGGAGAAGCAGGCTCCATGCAGGGAGCCCGACGTGAGACTCGATCCCGGGTCTCCAGGATCATGCCCTGGGCTGAAGGCAGGCACCAAACCGCTGAGCCACCTGGGCTGCCCAACTTTTCTGTTTTTAAGGGACTTTGTTCTTGTCATGTTAAATGTTTGCTACTTCTTATACTCCTTTTACGCAGCCGGGAGGAGCACCGTGAAGGACCAGCCCCTGGTTTTCCACACCAAAGTGAGGTCGTCTGGGTACGCGTCCGCACCGCAGTGAGTAAACGGACTCCTAGGCTGCTCGTGTCGGGGCGGAGAGGCAGGGTTCAGTACATACACATGAAAATGTGTCTGGGAGGGCCACCCCCTGGAGCAGGGGACAGGCACGTTGGCTACAGGAGTGGCCGCAGCAGCATTTCCTCAGTGCTTGCTGAGTACTGGCCTCACAGAAGCCCTTTGGTCCTGACCTCATAACTGCCGTGATGCTGGCTAATCTGGACAGTGCCAGGACAGGGGTGGGCCCCACCCAGGAGAGAGGGACTGTCCTCCTCACAGCTCAGCGTGGCTACAACAGCGGAGCATGAAGTTCAGTACATTCGGAATGGGGGAGGTTGGTTGGGGATGGGGTGAAAGATGAGGAAATAGTAAATTCTCAAATATGAGAAGTTTCCAGTACAGCAGAGCCTTGAAATCTCCTCATCCTTCAGGAACACCACATTTCTGGGAAGTAGACTTCACTTTTCTGTGTAAAATCCTATCACCCCCAGTCTTGACCTATTATGTGTTCTTAACACATTGAGCAAAACAGCTGTGCAACCGGCAGCCTGTGGGGCCCCCAGTCAGAACACAAGTCAGGGCTTTGGTAGGTTCTCTGGGGTCACCCATCCTGTCGACCTCCCCTTCACCTTGTTCCCTTTCATGGGTCTCCTGTAGCCACACCTGGCCTCCCCCGTGCATTCCTCCTGCCTCAGGGCTCTGCACTGGCCCTTTCTTCCCCAGGTGCCTACCTGAGGCTCATGCAGGTGGGGCTGACAGGGTGGCCTAGTATCTGGGCTGCCATCCCTGGTTGCTCTGTATAAAATGGCAGCCCCTACCATGATTCCCTCTCAGCCCTTGCTTGCTTTACTCTCCCTGGCCCGACTGGCTACCATGACTATGTTTTATTTATTATTTACTCCATAAACCCCTGGGCCTGAGACAATACCTGGTAACTCAGACCCTCTCACAAATATGGATGGATGTTTGTTTTGGATGGATGGATGTTTGGATGGATGGATCAGTGGGTGGATGGGATGGGTGGTTGAATGGATGAATGGATGATTGGATGGGTCAGTGGGTACATGGATGCATAGATGGATGGATGGATAGATCAGTAGGTAGATGGATGCATGCATGCATGCATGAATGGATGGGTCAGTGGGTGGGTGGGTAGCTGGATGGATAGGTGGATGGATGGATGAGTAGATGAATGGATGGAAGGAAAGATCAGTGGATGGGTGGATGCATGGATGGATAGATGGATCGATCAGTGGGTGAGTGGAAGCAGGGATAGACGGGTGGATTCTGGATTCATGCTCAGCAAAATTGCATACTCCTTCATGCATCATGCCTGTGAGCACCAGCTGTAGTGTGATGTGCTGTGTTCTGTGTGAGCCCCCAGGGTCCCCTGTGTTCAGAGTGGACCCCCAGGGTGCCCTGTGTTCAGTGTAGACCCCCAGGGTGCACTGTGTTCCGTGTAGACCCCCGGGGTCCCCTGTGTTCCATGTGGGCCCCCAGGGTGCCCTGTGTTCTGTGTGGACCCTCAAGGACCTGCCCTGATCATGTCTGCCCCCCCCCCCCCCGACATGCTTCCTGCACTCCAGCAGCATTCTTGCTCCTTCTTGGATGCTTCCCGCCAGTCTCTGCTCAGTGGCCCTCTACCCTTTGTTCCCTCTGTGGAGTTCTCTTCTTCCATCCTCATGGGACTAGTGTCCTCCCTCATCTGGGCCCCAGCCCCTCCTAGGCATCCAGGGGACTTGCAGATATTGTGGCAAATGCAGAGTCCCAGCAGTGGCCTAGGGCCAGGCCATCCTCTCCTGCCCCTTGTCTTGATGGCTCTGGGCACGGCCTGATGCAGAATGTGCTGCTTGCTCTGTGAGGCTGGATGCAGGTGCAGGTGGGGGTTTGGCTGTCCCTTGTGCATCCCCGGGGCTTAGCACCCTGTCCCAGCATCTCTGGCATCTTGTACTTTCTCCATCTGAAAGACCAGGCAACTGTTCAGCCACTACCTGTATTTGATAATTACATTTTTTTAAAGGGAGAATCCAGCATGGTTTCCCAGAGATTTCACTTATGTTCTGAGTAGGTCCACAAATAACACCTATAAGGGTGGTTCAGTTTCTGTTATGATTCTATACATCCATTCTCCAAAAAGGGACAATGTCACAAGAATGCCACTGCAGATACATAAGTGGATGAACAGCTGTTACAATTGAAGTAACCGAATGTTTGGTGTATTACTAGTGTGGGCCACTGAAAGTGCTTATGAATGTTTATGTGTGTGTATATTTTGCTGCAAAATACCAGTCTCTTAAGAAGCTTGGAACTATAATCTTCGAGATTGACATAAATTTTCTTTCCACAGCGTAACTATGTTTTCACCAAAGGCCAACACCAGGAAGCGTGGTGACCACTCTTCACGACGTAGGGATGGTCCCAGGTGGTACGTAACTAGCTTGTCGGTTCAAAGTAGATGTAGCATAATTTGGAGAGAGCCTTTAAATACTTTAAATGATTTTGTTTCAAACAGGTGTACAACTTAGTGAGTATGTGTGTACACATGAGCACGTATATACATAGCATGTATACGTATGTTCCTTTTGGTCAAACTCAGTTCTTGTTAATCCTCTTTTCAGATGGGCTGCTAGGTTTACCACCTTCACAACTTAGGGATATTAATTTTTGTTAAAATTCTTGTTTAGGAAGTGTTATAGCTGTGATGGATCATTCTTGATAAGTTTCTTAGGTAATAACTGTACAGAAAAATCTGAGCAGTTACAGGGCTCCAGGTGACTTTGAATGGCTGGAGATGAGCTCGTGGACTTGGAGGTGCATCTTGGGCAGTGGCCATGCTGTACGGCACATGTGGGGCCATAGCCAGTCCTGCCAACCCCCGGGGCCCATGTACCTGGATGGGAAGGTGATTGGGGGGACCTCCAAGACCCTCCCAGTCCCACACGTGGAGGTAACCTCATCTGGACAGAGATTCCAGGCTGTGCTGTTGAAGTGTCCCTAGCTCTCGTCCACAAGACATCTGCGTGAGCAGTTTTTCCCAGTTTTGTGATGTTTCTCTTAAGCCCTGATGCTCTTCCTGCCCTCCACTGCTGCTTCTGTATCAGCGGGTCATCAATGGCAAGGATGTGACCCCAGCAGGTGCCCTCAGACCCTGTGACATTCAGACCAGTGGTTGGAGATAGAAAGCAGCACCAGAGAGTTCTGCTCAACTCTGATCTTCCCACAAAAGCTCAGCTCTCCAGACCCAGCCAGTGGTCTTTGATGCATTTCTGGCCCAGGCAGCATTCTGTTGAGGGTAGGACTGATGGGAGGACCCCAAACGATGCCCTTCCTGAGCAAAAGGCTCCTCCAAACACCTACCAGATTTCACTTAGAAGGGATGGGACTGCGGGCTGAGGCCTTGCAAGGCCAGTCTTTCCACCTTGTATGGCCTATAAAGCTGTGAATAAATGTATTTAGCTTGTCACCAATAACTTCCAGCCTTTACAACAACCCGTCTTCACAGCTACTTCCTTCTTCTGTCCTCTGCTGTGTGCCACCAGGCACACAGGCCTTTCCACATTCCCCTAAGCGTGTAGCAGCACTGTGTGTCAGGTGGTTTGTGTTCAGTTTACTCTGCATTCTGCGGCTGAGGTGGGAAGATTGGGGGCCACATGCATGCCAGTGAGGAGCCTTGACGCCCGTGCCCTGGCTGGCCCCCATGCCCGTGGCCTTGCTGCTGTGCAGAGGCTGCCAAACCTTTAGTTGCTGAAAATGAACACTGGGGAGATTTTGCCTGAAGATCTGGATGCCTTCAGTGGGCCATGCTGCCTGCCCCCAGGGCCTGTGGGACCCACTCCACCCAGCCTGCCCCTGCGAGGGGTCCCGGCCACCGATCCTTTCCCCTAAGCCTCCCTGGGCTCTTTCACAGACTGGGAATGTGGTTATTCTCATGGCAGATATCAGCCATTTGTAGTTTATTTGAGTGATTGGTAGGATGGTCACCAACAAAGAGTGTGAAACTGCAAAGTGCAGCAAGAGGCTCTCCCCAAGTCGTCACAGATTCACTTGAGTTTATATTAAACATGAGAAATCCTTGACATCTTGTACTTAAAATGCATGCATTTTGGCCCCATGGAATGCAAGTGCATTTTAGAGTTATTTCATGGCTTTGAATATGTTTATATATATTCAGGTTGGGTAGAATGAAATTGCACATGTAAATAGGGGACAACCCACTATTCTAGTCTGTTGTCTTGTTTCTAATCTCTCTTTGAACTCTCTTGATGTTCATTTTCCTGATGTCCCTTCAAGTAAGGAATATCCTTCGGAGAGTTCTCCACCAACCAAACTCTACAAGCAGCGTGTCCTCGCCCACGGGCCTGCCGCGGCACACTGCGTCCAGTACTCAGGTAGGCTGTGTCTGGGGCCGCGCATCACTGCATTGCCAAGCATCCCTTACCTGCCACTGTTCCATCATAAACAGAGCTTTAAACTTGCTTGCTTGAAGTTATCTGGCATTGTTTGAGTCTGGATTAAAGTCAAAGCTCACATTGCCCCTGAGCATAGCCGGCATCAGGGCATTTGTGCTTGCGTCGGCCGCCGCTGCAGCTCGGGGAGCTCCTTGACTTGGACTTAGAGGCTCACCCAGGTCTGGGCTCTGCATGTGTGACCATCTCCTCCGTAGCGTTGGAGGGGGTCGGGGTGGGGGCGGCTGCTTCGAGGAGTGTGGAGGAGGCCGCCCGGGGCAGATGACCATCCCTCCTTGGGAGGAGCCTCTCCTGCAGGCCCAGTGGGTCTTGGGCTTGTAGTGGCCATTTCACTCTCAAGTATGTGGAAATGCCTCTACCAGACTCTTCTGGGTCTTCAGCATTTTTCCCAGGAGAGTTTGGAGGAAGCTGGGAGCAGCTCCCATGCAAGTGGCTCTGTGATTTGAGCTCTTTCTTCAGAAGCACACGTTGTTTCTGGGTTCTCGAGTGACTTGGAGGTGAGAAGCTGTGCTTGCCCTCAGTCCGGGCTAGAAGGCCACCCCTCAGCATCTTGAGCGCATTCCTGCAGTTTTCACTGTTTACAACTGTTCTAGGTTCTCTTCATTTTTCATGTAAGTTTAGTCAAAGCATGTCTGAGTGATTTTGGGAAATTAGATTCATACCATCATCAGTAAAGTACCTTTGTGGTGTGAGAGAGGCTTGCTTATTTATGATCGTGTGATTGTATGATGTGATTAGAAATAAAGTAGGCGTCTCGATTTGGAAAATTGTGGGAGGTCTTTAATTTAGTTCTGCCCTGTTTTAGGGGTATGTTTAAATAGAACTGCCTACCTGAATAATATGTGTCTTATAATTCTGTTGATGGAAGGCGGGGTGCCACAGGGTGCAGAGCGGGTGCCCCTACTCCGCACTCCCGGGTCCTCTCTAAAGCATGTCCTGGGGGATGTCACGCGAGGGTGACACAGGGCCTGCCACCTGGTGGACTCTCAACGTGTGGTGGCTAGCCCTCGAGCAAGTGCTGTTTGTTTGGATTCCCTCGCTAACTGACAAAACGAACGTCAAGTTAACTACAAATTCTGTATTTACCTGTTGCAAGTGTGACTCCTGTGAGCTGTGATTTTTAAGGGATGTCCTTTGCTGTTTTGAAGCAGGAGATGGACAGTGGCTCGCCTGCGGTTTAGCCAACCACTTGTTGCTGGTCTTCCGTGCTGACCTTAGTGGGACACCTACTGTCTTTTCAGGTATGATGTGTTAGTTTGAGTTAATATGTATTCATGGGGGGCTCTCCTTTTGGTCCTGGGTATCAGTTGCTATGTGCCCTTCTATGCCCTTCAGGTTCAGAATGAGACAGAAGTAAGGCTTGCGCATGGAGGTAAATTAGTGAACTAGATTGGCCCTGCTAAACCAGGCGGTGGGGGTATAACCTGGGAGGCTGGGGCTGCAGGCACATCTGCCACAGGTGCCCCAAGGTCAGGGAAGAAAGCTTTTGCAGAGTTCCAGGGGAGGGGTAAAGTGAGAACTTAGCCACGACGAAAGCACACTTGGAAAATTAGGGGGGTTTGTTCACAGACATTTTCATAAACGTAACAAGGTAAGATTTCTTTCTTTTTTTTTTTTTTTTTTGTGGGGGGTGAGTAGATCTGAGATGAGGGCAGTGGTATTGGAAGTCTCACTGTTTTAGCTTCCTGACAGATCACTAGTCCTGAGCCCTGAGCTTCCCCCACTCTTGTTCAGGGTCCTGGAACTGCTTTCTGCAGACTCATACCCAGTGGATATTTTAGTAACAACAAAAATACAAAAAAACAAAACAAAACAAAACAGAAATGCTGCCAGTGAAAGTGTTTCTGTGAAGTAGAGGAGTGAGGTGCCTGGTGGAGGGAGTGGGGTGCAGGTGTGGTGGTTGACGGGGCAGGAGCACGCCCCCAGGGCTCCCCCAGACTCGGGCCCCCCAGAGTCCGCAGTGGCCTCTGGACAGCCTGGAGGAGGGGCCTCTGCAGGGGCTGGTGCCACCCTCTCGGGACGTGTGGGAGGACCTGCCGCCCCATCCACAGCCCACGTCGTCCCCCTACACTCTGTGGCTCCTCCTGGCTCCAAACCTTGGTTCTTAACGCTTTCCTTAAGGTGCCTTCCATGAGCCTGGGACTCTGCGTGCGAGTCTTTCTATCATTCAACAGTTGATAGAAATGGTGATTATGTTGCACGTAGATGTTTCTCTATTCTATTGCAGGAATGGGGCTCGTGGCTGAGTTAAGATAATTCAGTAGATGTTCAAACTCACCTTTTAAAAAAGTGCTGTGTTTGTGTTTTGGGGAACAGCATCATTCTTACCCACCCTACCTCATCATCATTCTGCCCTGATGGTTTACCTGTCATATGATTCAACTTTGAAAATATGATGGCTTTCTCAACACATATGCGAAAAGCAGGAAAATGGGTGCCTGTTTGATGGTCAAGGAAGGGAGCCACTGAGCTGGGAAGAGAGGTGTATTGGCAGGTCCCAAACAGGTGGAGCCGCCCACCTGTCGTGCCCTTGCCCAGGGCCTGCACACGGCCCACAGCAGCCAGGACGCTAGCGGGTGGCGGTGGGTCCTCAGACACATCATCTCCAGCATCGTATCCCCAGCCAGCAGCATTGTGCAGGCCTGCAGCCTGGTGTGAGGGGGCCTTCATCCTTATTAAAACTCCCAGAGACCTCCACGAGAGGGCAGTAGAGCTATGTCAGAAAGTTCTGGCTGGTTGTGTTGGGTCTCGGTACAGAACTGCAGCACGTACTCTTTTTTTTTTTAATAGTAAATTTATTGTTTATTGGTGTTCAATTTGCCAACATACAGAATAACACCCAGTGCTCATTCCATCAAGTGCCCCCCTCAGTGCCCGTCACCCATTCACCCCCACCTCCCCGCCCTCCTCCCCTTCCACCACCCCTAGTTCGTTTCCCAGAGTTAGGAGTCTTCATGTTCTGTCTCCCTTTCTGATATTTCCTACCCATTTCTTCTCCCTTCTCTTCTATTCCTTTCACTACTATTTATATCCTCCAAATGAATGAGACCATATCATGTTTGTCCTTCTCCGATTGACTTACTTCACTCAGCATAATACCCTCCAGTTCCATCCATGTTGAAGCAAATGGTGGGTATTTATCATTTCTAACGGCTGAGGAATATTCGTACTCTTGATGAATCTTTCCCACCTCTTCCATCTCTGCCGTGTGGGTTCTCTGGCCGGTGTGACATGTGATGCTGCGGTTCACTGCTCCTCTGTGATGCTCCAGCCGCAGCAAGAGGGTCCTCCCGGGTGGGTGGTAAGAGTGCTTGAGGCCGAGGCCAGTGCCCTGGCTCAGCAGGGGCAGAGGTGTGTGCTCTACAGTCCTGGCCAGACGCAGGGCCCACAGAGAAGGGTGGCTTTGCGGTGGTGCTAGGGTCACTGGGCCTGTCCTGTGTGCCCCATGAGTCATGGCGCCATCCAGACTCCTGTGCTGTGCTGTGGCCTGCGATGTTCGCACCCCGCCTGCCCTCTCCACTCCAAAAAGCCCATGGTTTTCATTTCTCAGCCTTTCCTTGGGTTCCTCTGTTTCTCGGAGCAACAGGTGGCAGCAGTGCCCGGTGAGAAGGAGTGGGGCTGGTGGGTGGACACACTCCCCTGTGCCCTGGGCCACCGCACTCCCTGCCACTGCGTCAGGATGGGGTGGACTGCTGGGCAGCTTGGAGCTAAGGCCGACGGGGTGCGGGGAACCCACTCACAAGGATGGACTATCCCATTGGCCACGTGTATGGTTGGGGGGAGTGCATGTACGGCCTGGGTGCCCAGCCCAGCCCCTGGCGGATGGGGCCCCAGCCCGCAGCAGCGTTGGCACTTTCCTCCTCACACATCCGTGTGCCCTGAGAAGGAGAGTGTGTGGTACCTGGTACCTGGGCCCCTTTCCCTGTAGACTTAGGTATCTGGCATTCTGATTGCTGCACCTGAGGAGGGGGTCACAGCGGAGGAGGGCACGTTTTAGCTGTCTGCCACGCCAGGGCTAGTGGTGGCAGTGACGGAGGTTAAGGGGTCCCATGGCCCAAAGGACAGATTGCAGTTGGTTAGACTTCTCTTCGGTGTTCGATTAAGAGGGAGAAGCAAGCAACCACATTGTTCTTGACTCAGTGATGGGGGTTGAGTCTTCCTTCCTTTTCTTTCTTCTCATTGCATCCCTGTCGCAGGGGCTCTGGGGCACTGGGTGCTGACAGCCCAACAAGGGGTCAGATGACACGTGCCTGCATTCGGGAAATCCTTATGACCTCTCGCTTCAGTGTTAAAACAATAACAGTTCTTGAAGACGTGTTATCATGAAGTCACAGATTTCTGTACATTTTATAATACTACGTTTTAGGAGTTTCTTCTTTTAAAACACAAATGCATATGTAATTTTGAGCTTTATGTTTTAAACATAAAGTTTTGAAATGCCTCCTTCACAAACCATGTTAAGCCTTTAAATGAAGTATAATTCCCCGACCCCCCCCCCCAGCGATTTATTCCGGGAGGGCTGCATTCTGCTGTGTCGGAGGGAGGTCCTTGATGCCCCCCTCTGCTTCTGTCCTTCCCTTAGGTCACGACGGGGCAGTGAGCACTGTGTGCTGGAGCCATGACAGCAGGTGGCTGCTGTCTGCTTCCCACGACGGGACGCTGCGGCTGTGGTCACTTCGCAGGGCGGAACTCGCGTTGTGTGTGGTAACGGGTTACTGCTGTCGATCATGGGCAGGGTTTCACAGTGACCAGCCCTGTGACCCCCAGACCATCAGAATCACAGAGACACGGGGGTTTAGGGAATGGGGTGAACCAGAGTTGCTCTAGTGCACCAACAGCAGTTGATGATTGGATATTTTCTTACATGCATGTCCTGTGCAAACATGTGTGACAGCCAGGCACATGCACAAAGAGGGGTGCACTTGTGCACACAGTGACACGTGAGCCTTCTTATGCGCTAAGAGGACACCATTTGGAGACAACGGGAGAGGCAAGAAGGGAAGAAGGTGATGATGTCACAGCCAAGACAGGAAAGGGAGGGCCATTCCCCTGTGAGTCAGATTAGGAGCTGGCCAACTGCAAATTCTAAAAGATGTGTTTAGCACTTTTTTTCCCCTGTGGGTCTTGTTGTAAATGGGGGATGGAATCCGAAGTAGGCTAGCCAGGAAGGGACGTGCATCAGACCTGGGACTTCTGGACCAGGTGTTTGGGAGTGGCTTCAAGGGGACGGGCTTGATTTAGGGTCGTTGACACTGTCGTCTTCCATGCATGATGCTGTGGGTTCTGAAATACGATCTGAGAGCAGACCTCTCAGAACCCTACTCCACGGTTACAATTTTGTCTTTAACAAAATCCTTGCTACTTAATATGCTCGCTGCCAGGTATCGATTTTCTTTTATTTTAAGGTTTTTAAGTGGCTAGAATTCGAAATACTCATTACAGCGAAGCTTTAATCATGTAACATCTTTCGGAAATAGGAAGAAGAAACAAAATCATGAAGTGTATATCTACGTTTAGAGCAGACGTGTGGGTTGATAAGAAGGAACCTCCCTCGTGGAGCTGTGGTGTTTCTTGTTTGCCTCTGTTATGTTGGCAGTAATTATTGATTTGTGTTACAGGGCAAAGACGTGTTTTCCAAGCCTGTCCGATCTGCACAGTTTTATTATGTAGACACTTTTGTGTTGTTGTCTTCTGGTCCTGAACTTCAGCTCCTGAAGTATCACATTGACACTTACAAGGATGAGATCCAACGGTGCGTAGCCTCTGTTTCTTTTCTCTTCCTGGTCGGGGGAACTGTGTTTCAATACTGGGTCATATGCAAATAGAATGTTTACCTTTAAAAACGTGCAACATCAAATCACCTCATCACAGGCTGCTGACAAGAGCTGAGTGACGGGGTGATGGCCTCCCCCTGTTCAGAGCTTGTCCACAGTGCCGCACGTGGGGGCCGTGAACTGTCGCCTTGGTTGACCACGTATTAGATTGATGTCAAGTGGGACTATGTGCCATATTTGTAATGAAGTAAAACATGAACTGTTTCATACACACACACGTGCACTAGATACATGTTCTAAATACCTGTTCACACCTCCTTTTGCAAGTATTAATGCTGGTTTTGTTCCCAATTTTTTTTGACTTGCATCTTTTTAAATTTAAATTCAATTTGCCAACATATAGAATAATATCCAGTGTTCATCCCATCAAATGCCCTCCTCAGTGCCCGTCACCCAGTCACCCCATCCCTCCGCCTACCTCCCCTTCCACTATCCTTGTTCGTTTCCCAGAGTTAGGGGACTCTTATAGTTTGTCTCCTTCTCTAATTTTTCCCACTCAATTTTTTAAAGAAATGAAAGATTATGGGGTAGTTAGTGTCCTGCTGTCCTGTTCCCATCCTCTCTTTTCCCTGCCTGCTCTTTCTCCATACCGGGTGAGCATTTCTCTCACCACCATCCGTGAGCATGCTGGGCAGCCAGTCCCCTGCACCATCTTCCCTGCGCTGCAGTTCCATTTATTCCACATCCCTGTCCCCTATTGCACTTTCCACCTGCCAGCCTCAAGTTCATTTTATTTATTTATTTTTCAGAGTAGATTTTTTTTTAATTTTTAATTTTTATTTTTTTGTATTTTTTTTATTGGAGTTCAATTTGTCAACACATAGCATAACACCCAGTGCTCATCCCGAGTTCACTTTCTATATGAACGATTCACTTTCTGTTCTGTTGTTGTTCTTCTGTTGTTTAGGTTCCACATGTGAATGAGGTCAGAGGCTGTGTGTCTTTCTCTGACACACGTCGCTCAGCAGAATGCCCTCTAGGTCCGTCCTTGTTGCACGTGGCAGGTGTTATCCTTTTTGATGGTTCCATTGCGCACGCACCACCTCTTTGTCCGTCTGTCCACCGACACATGGGCTGCTTCCAGTCGTGGCTGTTGTAACCTTCCTCAGTTTGAAATTGGAGTGTTTGCTTCCTGTCCGTGGCTTTATATCTGTTAATGCTACACACACCTTCCATAATCATCCAAATATGTTTCTGAGACTGAGCCATGCTTGCAAATGTGACTTCAGTCTGTTCCCGGTGGCTGTTACATGGTTTTACAGGAGGAACGTGCCATGGCTGCTTCACCCATCCTCTTGTTGCCGGAGCTCTGGGTTTTCCTGACTCATCCTGTTCCCTAACCAGTGGCATGCTGGATTTCCTTGTGTGCATCTGGAAGTGGGTGTTTGGGGGTGAGTGCACACCCACCTTCTCTGTGCCTGCAGCGAGCTGTGTGCAGTACACACAGCGAGGGCAGAGTCTTGACTTTCTCTGAGGCTGTCTGTCCTGCCTCTTCTTGCAGGGGATGCTGTCCTTCCTTCCTGTAACTCAGTACCTGATTGTGGCAAGTACTTTCCCTGGAAAGAAATACTGCGCCTGCCGACTCTTTGCTTCTGGTGTAGCAGCCAAAGCTGGGGTGTGGAGCGGCCTTCATGCCTCATTCCTTTCGTGCTGGCTTATGTGGCCCTTTGCAAACTGTCCGGCCCTCTGGTGGGTGGTCGTGTGCGACCTGGGCAGCCACACTTCTCTGTTTGGGGGATGCCCCGTGGAAGCTGCTTGAGAAAGGCCCTTCCCCAGGCCTGCTGCTTGCTTGGGCTGCAGCTGCTTCTCCCATTGGTACCAGTGTCAGCTGGGGGTGGTGACTCTCAGAAACTGGCAAGGCTTCAAATGATGGGACACCGAATGTCACACGGGCCACAGGCACGCACGCCCCTCAGCAAAGCTGTCTGTCTCTCTGGCAGGGCTCTTGGCCCTTCATGTGGAGCAGAGTCAGAGAGGGTATACACTCAGCAGCACACCGCGCAGCCTCCCCTGCCCTTCTTCTCCTTCTGAGCCAAAACTGGCTCGTGGCTGGTGTGCCATGTGAATACCTGTGCCTTCCCTGGTCAACCTCACCCCCACTCCCTGTGATTTCAGCTGTGTGTGGTCCCTTTGCTTACATGATCTGCTGTCTCTGACACACCCCTCCTGGTCTGTGCTGTTCATAGAGCTTTCACACGGCTGCCCCTGTGAAGCAATGGCTTTCTGCCCCATTAACCACCCTGCTGGATGATCTCACGCAGTTTATCAGCAGGAATGTGCGGCAATTTGTGGCATCTTTGTGTCGTCACTGAGCTTCACTTCAGACCTCTCCTGTGACTCAGCTCATTTTGTTCCTTGAGTCTTCCCATTCCCCCCAGGACCTGCTCTCTGAGTCATCCCTCTGGATGCCCATCTCTGTGCCTGCATATCATGCCCCAGGCCCCAGGTGAACGTGCGGCATTCACCTACCTTGGAAGGTCCAGGCTGATGGCCTGCTCATCCTCAGCCTCAGCCTCAGCCGCCCCGCAGGCTCAGACTCGGAGCCCTCCCCACAGCTTTGTCCATCACTGGCCTGTGCCTGCTCTGCTCAGCCACCCCGAGGTCTCCCCTGGCCCTGCTTGGGCCAGGATCACTCGTAAGATGGCTAGAAGGTTCTTTCCTTTACTAAAGTATTGTTAGGGATCTTTGAGGACGTGTGTTTATTAAACCAATACTAACTGCTTATGTTATCCTTTAGAAAATATTAAGGGGACACCTGGATGGCTCAGTGGTTGAGCATCTGCCTTCGGCCCAGGGCGTGATCCTAGAGACCCGGGATTGAGTCCCACATTGGGCTCCCTGAATGGAGCCTGCTTCTCCCTCTGCCTGAGTCTCTGCCTCTCTCTCTCTCTATCTCTCATGAATAGATAAATAAAACCTTTAAAAAAAAAGATAAAATATTAAGAACATATGTGTAAATGGAAATACAGATAATTTTTATCCAGTTGGATATCATTTAAGTATACGTAATTATTTTAGAATTAGGAGAAAAATTTGCTTTCTCATAGACAGGAATGAATTATTTTGGGCTTTATATGATATATCTTCATGAAGTTTTCCTAAAGGAAAAGTTGAGTTTCCTACAGGAAAATTAAGGTAGCAGACTGGTTCCTTTGATGTTATAAAGTATAATTATTAAGTGATATGAAAACTTTTTTCATATTCAACTTTTTCAAGGCAGAATGCTTTGTCATGGGAGGGAAACAGAAAGATGGGTTATCTTTATTTTTCTTTCAGATATAAGCAGAAGAGCAGGTGCAAACGTGTCTTCAGGCTTCCTACGACTGGTAGGACAGAGATTACCAGTTTATCAGCCGTCAACGACTTCTATTCCTGTATCCTTGCGCCTGCCATTGGTGTTTTCACATCCTGAGCACCCTCCTCCCACATGAGCATCTGCTGAAGGCCCCAGCCTCAGGCGACATGCTGAGCACTGGGACTTGGGGAGCTCACGTCTGCTGCAGTAATTGTAGGTGCAGCAATTTCATCTCAAAGGAAAATAGACATTGATGCCGCAGAGCATATGATATATAGCAGGGTGATCTAACTTGGTATCTCTGGTCTGTAGTTTATGCATAGTACTTTTTAGAAATTTAGTACTTTTTAGAGATCAACTGCTATACCTGCTATGGGCCTCCTTCCATTAACTGGAGTTTGCCTCATGTCTGTGGAGGCTGAGAAGTACCTGGGGGATGGGCCCTGGGGAGGGCACGTGTGGAATCAGCACTGGGTGTTATATAATTATGATGAATCCCTGACCCCTACCTCTGAAACGAATTAATACACTATGTGTTAATTAATTAAAATTAAATTAAAAAAATTAAAAAGAGAAGTAACTCTTGAATATGAAATTGAGCCCAAAAGTTTATTTATTTTTATTTACTTTCTTTGGTTAGCATCATTCTTTTTAATTAAAAAGCATTGATTTTTATTTATTTAGAAAAAAGCTCCAATCTTTAGGAATTCATCTTATAAAATTTTAATTGATTCAGAGGCCTAAGTGCTGTTCTTTTATTTTTTAACTTTTTAAAAAAATATTTATTTATTTATTCATGAGAGACACAGAGGCAGAGACACAGGCAGAGGGAGAAGCAGGCCCCATGCAGGGAGCCCGACGCGGGACTCGATCCCAGGTCTCCAGGATGGTGCCCCAGGCTAAAGGCAGCGCTAAACAGCTGAGCCACCCGGGCTGCCGGAGTGCTGTTCTTTTTTTTTTTTTTTTTTTTTTATAAATTAATTTTTATTGGTGTTCAATTTACCAACATACAGAATAACACCCAGTGCTCATCCCGTCAAGTGTCCCCCTCCGTGCCCGTCACCCATTCACCCCCACCCCCCACCCTCCTCCCCTTCCACCACCCCTAGTTCATTTCCCAGAGTTAGAAGTCTTTATGTTCTGTGTCCCTTTCTGATATCTCCCACACACTTCTTCTCCCTTCCCTTATATTCCCCTTCACTATTATTCATATTCCCCAAATGAGTGAGAACATACACTGTTTGTCCTTCTCCGATTGACTTACTTCACTCAGCATAATACCCTCCAGTTCCATCCACGTTGAAGCAAATGGTGGGTATTTGTCGTTTCTAATGGCCGAGTGCTGTTCTTTTGATGAGTTTTATAGTTGAAATTTCAGAAGGACAGATATAAGGTGTTTGTTTTAATTAGAAATGTGGTATTTTTTTATGCTACGCAGCAAAAGACCTAACAGAAATGTGTCATTCTGAGTATTCTAGCCTTGAATGGCTATTTCTGCATATTTAGCATTGGGGTTTATTAGTGGATCAGGTAATCTTTCTACCATGGTTACTATTTATGACAGTGTTCTGGGCTGAACACTGGAGGTCAGGTAATTTTGGTGGTCACACGAGCTCTAAGCTCATACACTGCTGCTCTTGTACTGAATGTATGGAGTTAGTGATGCTCTGCTGACAGCAGACCATGCTGTGAGGTGCATGCTCTCTGAGGGCCGGCCCTGGGTGCCACTATCCACGTCAAGTTTGCACGGCCTAATTTTACCCTCAGACTTGTCTTCCGAGCTCAGTACCCATATATTCAGCTGCTGTTCCATCTCTTGATGTGTGTATTTCTTGGACATCTTGAACCTCATTTCACTGAAGTTAAACCTCTGGGCCTCCCACCTGGAGATGTGTACCACCTGGGTCCACCCTTGTCTGCAAACCAGATGGGGGGAGTGGGGCTGTGACCACAGCTTCTGGGGAACTCCAGTCATAGCCGGTCATCCTTTGGGTGTCTTCTGGGGTTCCAATAGTATTAGCAGAATAAGCAGGATTGCTCACTCCCTATGGTGGATTGTTGAGAGGATTCCCTAACTGAGTCCTGAAGATCTTGTGCTCACGGCCGGCCGGAACAGGACTCTGGAGGTTTTCGACCTCAATGCAGGTCGCAGTGCAGCCATGACAGTGGAAGTGCATTCACGACCTGTCCACCAAATCTGTCAGAATAAAGTGAGTGAGCTTTTGATACAGTACATATCATTTGTAAAATTTTATGTTTAAGGTGTTTGACAACTACAAAATGTGTGATGCAATTTTGATAAATGCTAAAACTCAATGCTAATTTTTAGTCATTGTTAAATTTTCTAAGCCTTAATGTTTGACCTTAGAAGATAGTTTAATGTCATATGGAATGTTAACTTTTGTCTTTGACTATTTTATGGGCCTATTTCTCAACTTTACTAGTAATGCATTCACACTTAAACCTTAATGGAGGGTTTGTGTGTTTCAGGCACTAGCTGGATTGAGTGAGTCATGTAGACCCTGCAGGAATACAAAGCCTTCAGGAATCAATAGTTTGTCTTGTTAAGATGTACCTATTCTCTTTTGACAGAGAAGTGGTTTAAAACTACTCATAGCTGAGGGCTACAGACTTGAGATTAGACGGGTTGATGTTTTGATGAATCCATTGTCTCATAGTTTAGCTTGAAAGGCACTTTGCTGTCCCAAAGGGTATCTAAGAGATTTATGAACAAAACTTTTGTTTTTAGGACTGCAACTACCATTTTGATTTTTGATATATTTGCAATAACTTTGCCAATTGAGAGTTTAATTTATAATACCTTCTGGAACCTGTATTATGATTTCAAGGGTATCATTGTTTTTTTATAGGGAGGGAGGGGGAGAGGGAGAGAGAATGCTAAGCAGGCTCTACCTCCACCATCACCACCATCATTACCATTATCACCACTACCATCACCATCACCATCATCACCACCATCACCACCATCACTACCGTCATCACATCACCACTGCCACTACCATCATCATCATCACCATCACCACTATTATCACCCACTACCATCACTATCATCATTTTTTTGTGTATGGAAAGTGGTTTGTTAACATTTCCATTATAAATCCCTATTTCCTTTTTCTTTTACTTGCTCTGTTCTTTCTTTCTGGGATTTATCACAGAGCCATGAAAACTTGATCTAGATGAAACTTGGTATGAAAATCTGAAAAATCTCTGTCTGAGATTTGTTTTTTCCACTTGATTCCAAATTTGTTTTAAATTGTTTCAGCTAAAAAAAAATTGTTTCAGCTGATTAAGTTGGAAATAAAAAATATAGTTTTGGAGTTTTAAATGCATTTTACTTATAAAAAATAAAACCCTGGTTTTAATATAATGGTAAAGATAATCCTTTTAAAGTTAACCAATTTTCTGGGATCCCTGGGTGGCACAGCAGTTTAGCACCTGCCTTTGGCCCAGGGCGTGATCCTGGAGACCCGGGATCGAGTCCCACGTCGGGCTCCCGGTGCATGGAGCCTGCATCTCCTTCTCTCTCTGCCTGTGCCTCTGCCTCTCTCTCTCTCTCTCTCTGTGTGACTATCATGAATAGATAAAAAAAAAAAATAAAGTTAGCCGATTTTCTCATATTTTCAAAAGAAGTTATTTCATTTTGAAAAATGACATGATGCTATTTTGTCTGCCATCTTGGGATTTTCTTATTTTCATGCCTTTCTGTTTCCATTTCATAGAAGACTTTTAAACCTTTTGCACTCATTACTTTTCTTGGTTGAGGAATTAAATAAGATAATGCAGGCAAATCTCTTAACATGGTCTCAGTTCATTAAATGATAGTTATTCCTCCTATTTTTTTGAAATGTGAATTTATGAAGGTTGGTGGGCATTACCTTAGAAAACTCTCACTTGTCAAATGCACCTAATTTTGCACAATCCCTTTGTTCCTGTGAGTGTTAAGGGCAAGTGCCCAAGAATCTGCTACTTCAGAAGCTGAATTAAGAAGTTGCTTTCCAAGAAATTGTAACACAGAAGGTGGTAGTTGTGGATGTGGGTCATAGTGACACAAAGCTGCCTGTGGCGAGTGCCATCATGCGAGACGGCAGACTGTGGCCACAGTAATGAGGACGTTGATTGTGTCCCGGGAAGACTAGAGAAGGTTACATTTGCCTGGGACTCCACCTTGTCTCATATGGTCAGGTAGAACTTATTTTAGGAGAATGGTGAAGGCACATAAAATAGACAGGTTGCCTTAGCCCCTGCAGGTGGTGAGTCAGGGCTAAAAGCTGGGTGGTTGCCTCTGCTCCCTTAGGCCCTCCGGCCTGACTCCCCTGCGTAAGCCCACAGAGCAGGCTGGCGTGCATGAACGCCCTGAGCATGCCCCGTGCTGCCACGTCCCCGGCCCCATGTGCGGTCTGTCGTCCATCCTTCTGCCCCAGCCGCCACCTACTGCCAGCCCCGTCTGCTGTCTCCTCAACCCAGCCACACTCCTACTGCTAAAATATAAATACTGCTTAAATTCCACAAGGTTCCCAGCACGTCGACGTAGAATCAGACTTGGCATGCAGGTGCTGTCCTCTCCTGTCTCAGGCTGGGCATGTGATGGAACCTGAGTTGCTGGGCCAGGCCCTTTCCTTGTGCCATAGGTGGCTCCTGTGGGATGCAGCAAACCCAGGTGACCCTCCAGGACAGGGGGAGGCACACCCTGCACTTTTCCCTGTCATGCTCTTACACATGCACATGCCACATGTGCTCCCACGTGGCAGATGTTGCGTCTTAGCACGCATGAACTCAGCCCTCATTCATAGACGTGGAAGCTGAGACCCCAAGTGCCGGTTCCCTGAGGTGTATTGGTGGCGTCTGGCCGCAGAGCTAATGGTCCCAAGTTCCCTGGGCTGCTGTTGTCTGGGAGCCTTGTCTGGCTTCTCTGTACCAGGCTCGGGCTTCCCCCCACCGAGATAATGAGCTTTATGAGCAGGATTGTGACCCTATCAGTCCACATCTACAACCCTTCACCACGGTGATGTCTTGGGGGATGGTCAGCACCTGCTCCTTGGTCCTCACCAAGCTTGTGGTCTGGACTGTACCAGGACTTGCAAGGGCACATACATGTATACGTGTGTATATGTGCATGGACTCATGTGTAGGTGTATGCACATGTGTGTCAATGTGTGTGTACAGGCATATGTATTAACTTAATAACAAATTCATTTAAACGTATCTCTCAGCAAGTCTGCACCTGGTGCTGCTCTGAGCACTGGGATACAGGCGTGTGGGAGAAAGTAGAACCCTCACACTTGATGAAATTGTTTCCTTCTAAAGAAAGAAGTGGGTTCACTTTCACACAGGTCAGGTACTCCTCTCTGAGGAGGTGATATGGGCAGCAGGTACGTGGGGCAGGGGAGGGAGCCAAGTGTGCACTGGGGGAGCAGCGTCTAGGGAATGGGCACCATTCACATGCAGGCCCACATGATGAAGCCAAGGGTGGGAGTTGGACTGCAGATGCAGAATCCGTGACTGGGGGCAGGGGATGGTCCTCTGGGCTTGCAGGCCCTGGTCACAGTCTGGGTTCAATTCCAGGTACAGGACAGTCATCGTGAAGGTTGAGCAGGAAGGTGAGTGACCTGCCTGGATGTGCATGAGCAATGTACATCTAAGTGTAATACCGATGTTAGAAATAACGAAGTTGTGCCACGAGGTTCCAGCTGGAAGGGCTTGTGCTTGTGCTCTGTCCCCTTGGGGAGTACGCTGGTGCTCTGCAAACATGTGCTGCTTTAGGAGCTCCCACCAGTGAATAGACAAGCTGGAGAGGGAAGAGGGGACGTGCTCCTGGGCAGTAGACCAGCCAGGGGGTGTCCATAGCGGCTGTCCTAGTGCACACCTGGCTCCTTCAGCGGCAGACAGCTTCATGTCATAGGGCCTTACACTGAACTCTGCTCAGATACCAGCTGGGGCCCTGGCTTTGTGGCTGATGTGCCAACGGTAGCCTTGGGGACAGGGGTTTCTGACTTAGCCTGTTTTCGGGGCATGGTGTTGGCTACAGGAAGGGTCCTCTTCCTAGTGGACTTGGGTCTCCAGGCCTGTGTCTCTGTGTTTGGGGAGCCCCCTAACAGATTCCTAGGAAACTTCCCTTCAGATGCTACCAGCAGCCAGTACAAGCCATTGTTGTGAAGACAGGGCTGTCCCTCTCCTTGTGTGACACCAGGACCATTCCGTATGTCCCTCTCATAAAACCTTTCCTTGTTACACCTTTTAGTGCATTTGCTTTAGGAAACTGCTTAACATGTCTTCTCCATTAAGTAGCAGCGTATGTAATGACCAAACAACAGCCCGATCTACCTCAAATTGATGTGGTCTTCCGGCAATGATTGTGATATTTTGGGGATCATTGTGGTGTGCTCTTGGATGAGAGGTGTCGTATTAGGAAAAGTAGTCCTGAGGTTTTTAATGGGAAAATGACTAGTTTGACCTCCTAGGAATACACTTCTGAGTGGTATATGGTGAAGGGAAGGGAAGGAGTGTAAGGTTTCAGAGGCTCACACTGTATCTTAATAGCTTGTTTTTCTAAACTTCTCTTAAATTCTTGTTCAGTTACACAAGATACATCAAAGTGTTCTGACTACCCACAGCCACATGGGAGCTGCTACCCAGGAACTGTCCTGTAACAAGTCCAAATTTACGAGAAACACAAATCCTTCCTGGCCCAAATGTCATATTTCCAGTAAAATATAAAATAGATCATTTTGAATTTCCCTTAAGGTTAGGACAAGAGAACTGTATCTGTCACACACCAGTAATGTTCCTTTGCACTCATCCCAATGCACGGTCCTGAAAGTCACCTCTCCTGACAACTGCCCCCTGTCGTGGTCAGATAAGCAGACTGTTTAATTTGATCACATTAACGAGAATATCACATGAAATAGTCAGAGCTGTGTTTTTCTGTTTTTAAATTGTGTTATGTCATGAGGTGGCTTATTTTTATAATGAAAAGGCATACATCTTTTATGATTTATTGATCTCTTTAAAAAATCATAGTTACTCCTTTTTCTTTATATATAATAAAACTTTGACTATTACTTTTTTCTATGCCTGAGTAAGATATGTGCATTTTTGTGATGTAAGTATATAATGTTATACAGCTAATTTGAACTGAAAAATTAAATATGTGAAGGTTTAAATAGTTTTCTAATGAAAACATTTTATCACAAAGAAAACTTTAGATTTTCAGAAATAAGTCATTAATATCCATGTGATTACCTTAAAATATATTACTTCATTATCTCTAGATCTTGTATTTTTTTTTTTTTGAACTGAAATGCTTGTGGATACAGACACAGTTCTGCTCTGTTTCTTTGTCTCCTTCTTTGATTACTACAACTGAATTTAATGTGACTTTCCCAAGTATGCGTTCAAAATACATTCTGTATTGTGTGGTGTGTTGTCATTTTACATAATAGCAGCAAACTATACCTATCTCTGTCTACCTGATTTTTATTCCACATTACGGATATGTAATCCATTCCATTTTTTATACATTTATGATGTATGCATTTAAACCTATGAATTTCCCCTTGAATTCTGCTTTAGCTGCACTTTACCAGCTTTAGCTTGTGTATTATTATTATTTAGCAGTAGATGTTCTCTAATTCCCATTATGATTTTTTTTACCCTAGGGTTTATTTAGATGTGTGCTTTTAAATTTCTATATGTATGAGCTTGTTTTTAGTAAACTTTTTGTTACCGATTCCTACTTTTGGCATGGAGTTCAGAGCGCATCATCTATGTGACACTGATTCTCTTCTATCTGTTGGGTTTTTTTTTTCTATCTGTTGAGATTTTTGTATTTCTTGAGAAACTTGGCTTTCTGGTTGATTTTTATGGATATCATATATGTGTGCCTGAAAAGAATATGTTCTTGCTAACCGTTGGGTACATGTTTGCATAGATGTCCATTGGCCCAACCTTATTAACTGTATTTAAATTATTCAAGTTTCCAAATTTTTTGTATTCCTAATTGTTTTTTTTTTAAGATTTTATTTATTTATTCATTAGAGACACAGAGAGAGAGGCAGAGACACAGGCAGAGGGAGAAACAGGCTACCCATTCAGCAGGGACCCCGATGCGGGACTCATTCCTAGGACTCTGGGATCACAACCCAAGCTGAAGGCAGATGCTCAACCACTGAGCCACCCAGGCATCCCTGTTTTTTTTTTTTTTTTTTAATTAGAGAAGTGTATTAACATTTCTATGATTATGATCTTGTCAATTTCTTATAATTCTTTTGATTTTTGCTCTATATATTTACAGGCTGTTTTTTGTGTGTGTTTAAGTTACACTTCTTATATTTTTATATGTAGCATTCCTTTTATAATAGTTACAAACTCTTTAATGAGGTGTTCTATATTTTTTCTAGTACTTATATAGTCTTGCCTTCTTTTATTTAGTATATGCTATTCTCCACCTTTCACATTCAGCCTTTAAAAATAATGCTCTAAGTGTTTTTCTTGAAATGCAACTAAGAATCTCTTCTTTTTCTTTACTTGAGTTTAGTCTGTTTGCAATCAGTATGATTACTCATACATTTGATCTTATTTTGTGCTTTCTCTTCTACATTAAAGAAAAAAAACTTCTGTACTTTCTATTTATCATGAATTTTCTTTGCTTCTTCATTCCTTCTTCCTTAGCCTCAATTGGATTGATTGAAAATAAATTTAATTCTCCTGTTATCTCTGTGAACACTTTTGGTTTTTACTGGTTAGCTTTAAGAAACAAGCACTGCTGTGAAGTATTGTAACCATGCATCATGTGTCTGCCTTCCTTTTTTTATTTTTTTATTTATTATTTTTTTAATAATAAATTTATTTTTTATTGGTGTTCAATTTGCCAACATACAGAATAACACCCAGTGCTCATCCCGTCAAGTGCCCCCCTCAGTGCCCGTCACCCAGTCACCCCCACCCCCTGCCCTCCTCCCCTTCCACCACCCCTAGTTCGTTTCACAGAGTTAGGAGTCTTTATGTTCTGTCTCCCTTTCTGATATTTCCCACACATTTCTTCTCCCTTCCCTATATTCCCTTTCACTATTATTCATATTCCCCAAATGAATGAGAACATACACTGTTTGTCCTTCTCCGATTGACTTACTTCACTCAGCATAATACCTTCCAGTTCCATCCACGTTGAAGCAAATGGTGGGTATTTGTCATTTCTAATGGCTGAGGAATATTCCATTGTATACAGAGACCACAGCTTCTTTATCCATTCACCTTTTGATGGACACCGAGGCTCCTTCCACAGTTTGGCTATTGTGGACATTGCTGCTATAAACATTGGGGTGCAGGTGTCCCGGTGTTTCATTGCATCTGTATCTGCCTTCCTATTAAACTAGGTCTGTGTCCTTATGCTCCATGCCTTGCAAAGTGCCCAATGTTGTAGGTGATCTCTTATGTTTGTTGGGTACCTGTTGGATTGTTTGGATATTGAGAGTGACCAAGCTGTCCTGGCCTTGTGCTGGTTTGTAGACTGATAAACTATTTTGGGAGTACTGGCTGGGTGGCCTCCAGTGGATTCCTCACCTGAAATGGATATAAAATAGTTCACATCTCCTAAGTTTGTTAAGAGGATGAAATATTCAGTGTTTAGAATGCTGTTGGCTCAGAGTTAATATTCTGGTAGTTTGTTACTGAATTTACGTAAACCTTCATTTCCTATTTGTAACTTAAAAGGAACCTCAAGGTATGTGTACACTGTAAGGATAAACGCTCTCAGATATATTTTACTAAATATTTCTTAATAATTTGGATATTCTTGGCTTGAAAGGAAGATGGACTTTGTTATTAACCGTAATTGTTTAATGTTTGGGGCCAGAGCTATTTTAAGTCACTGCGACTTCTTCTGACAGCAGCTTGAGGAGAGGTGATGATCAGATCAGAGGCAGGTCCTCAAACGGACCCCAGCCTGTGACACATGCATGGCCTCAAATAAGCCAGTGCTCAGACTTCTGTACAGGGCCTTAGGGTGGGATCAATAACTGACCTCAGGTTTCAAATGCCTCATTATGGGCATCTTTCAGATAATTTATTGAAGATGGATTATGATCTATACTTAAAAAATCTGGTGTGTTAATATGGTAGTCTTTTGGTCTTTTATTTTATGTTTATAATTTTTGGTGGCATTTCATATCTAGGAAACACACACCAACAATTCGTAAGGTCAAAATGTACCATTAGTAATTATTCATAAGAAAGTTTTTGGAATCCAATTCTGAAATTGTTGTAAATAGGAAAAGAAAAAAACCTTGTGTCAGTTTCTTACTTTAGATTCACTGTCCTTACATGCCATGGTATAATGTTTATTAATTCAGCCTTTAATGAACACATCTCGTTTCCTCCCCTTATGATCACAGGGATCATCATTTATGACCCAGCAGCACGAGGCTTATAACCTATTCGCCACCACCGCCAGTGGGGATGGCATAAAGCTGTGGGACTTGAGGACCCTAAGGTAAGGTCCACCTCTGCCTGATATCGTAGAGCTCCCCGGAGCCCAGCTTCATGCTGGAAAATGCTTGTGAAGGCTTTCTTGGGGTGGCTCTGACTGTCCCAAAAGGTGGTGGAGATTTTCTCTGCATGACTGTTTTCAGTTCCCTGACATGTTACAATGACAGGTTGTATATAATACTTTATAAGTACTTGGTTGTGGCACTTGACCAGTCTTATAGAGTGTTGCTCCTCCCAAAAGTCTTTGAATCACTTATCCAAATGATTTATTATTTAAAAATGTTTGTTTTATATTTTTAAAGATGTCCAGAATAACCTTCTTGCCTTTAATAACTCATGTGAGTGCTCTCTCTCACTGCTGATTTGGTCATTGTTGTAAAGACAGGCTACCAGTCAGTGACCTTTTTCCTAATTTGCATGAAAATTAAAAAAATCATCTTTTTCTCCTGGTGTCTCTTTTTCTCCTTATAGATGCGAGCGCCGTTTTGAAGGGCATCCAAACCACGGGTACCCATGTGGAATTGCTTTTAGCCCTTGAGGACGCTACGTGGCTTCTGGTGCTGAGGACAGACATGTAAGTGCTGCCGTGGTGTTTGTTGGTCTTCAGTCATGAGACCCTGGACTTGTTCTTGTGGAAACTGCTTAGTATTATCGCACAGGAGGATACAAATCTATTTTAAAAAACGTGGCTACTGGCCAGGGTTTAAAACTTGCAAGTAATAGTATTTTGATAAGAATAATGTGTGAGCTATGAAAGGCCCTCATGCATTAATTTTGATGAATCATGATTATTTTAAACCCCATTCACACATTAATTTATTTCTTTATTCATTTATCGATCATTGCACAAATTGCCTTCATGTGAAAGGCATTGCTACATGCTGCATGTTCTGTGAATCACCAGATAAAACACTAATAAATAAAATACCAGATCAAAGTATTTAACTGGGAGTATTCCTTTCTGATGTCTTAGGGAACAATGTACTTATTTGATTATTATTTTTTCTAACCTTCCAAAGAAATGCCTTTATTCACAGGACTTAGGAATGGAAAAAAAAAAAAAACAACAACAAAACTCTAGAAAAAGGGAATTTCAGAGTCAGCCCTGGTGCAAGGAGTACTTGGCAGGTCCAGGCTGCAATCCTCCGTGCTTCCTGGTGGTCACTGCCAGGTTGTGATGACGTCCCATGACTTGGTTGGCTCCCTTTGGGCCACAGCACCTGACCCTGGCGACCTCTCAGCCCCCAGTCAGCCCCATCACCCCGCACCAGCTCTTCATCTTACAGGATTTTGTAATGGCCAAGGACTTGCTCTGGGGGCGACTGGTGCCTTTTGTGGCATAGAGTCTCTCATTGGGAACCGCAGTATTGAGGGTGTCACTGATCAGGTTATACTTGAGGTTCTGGTTGTTGGTGGTGCCGGAGGTGAGAGATGGAAACTCGCCTCAGTGGGCCAGGGCTTCTGCTTGTCATCGGAGACAGTCGGAGCCATAACCCTGGAAGCACTGTTGGTCATTGCTCATCACCGCACCATGGCCTTCAGCGACCACACCATGGCCCAGTGGACCTTCCAGCAGCTGGCCGCCGGTGCTCTCCAGGTGGAGTCCCCTGGCCCCGTGGATGTGGTTGGGTGGTCCTTCCTGTGCTTCTGAAGGGCAACCTTGGTGAGAGGAATGGACAAATATGGTGTCCAACTCACGGGAAGTGTGTTTCACAGAGCAAAAATGTCGAAATCCAAGTTCACATGTGATGGCGTGGAGACACCAGAACATACAAGCACAGATGGAACTTCCTCCTGCCAGTTGGTAATGGGTTGTTAATGTACAGAGAGATCACATGGGCTTTTTTAGTGGACTGTGTCACAAACGGGGCTGTTTTGCTGTCCTGAGATCACTTTTTGATCTGTGAGAACTTGTCCATCAGAAGATGCCTGTCCCCTGGGCTTTGCTGCAAGATTTCATGATTCTAGAGGGACTTTTCCTGAACTCCACAAGCGGCTGTGGTCAGCAGGCAGCATGAAGGTGACCAGAACAAAGTCCAAATGGAGGTATTTTCCATTTTCATCTTTTTCTGCTAGAGGACCCCCTTCTTTCTCCAGCTCCTTCCTATAGCTTTTAATATTCTTCACCATCAGAACCTTCTGGGTCAGATCCTAGTGGTTCAGAAAATGTTATGTGATTATCTGAGAGCCAACAGCCAGTTTCAATGCTAAAAACATTTTTCGTTGGTTTACACACTCATCTGGTAAACATTCCAACCCTAATTTTCTGTCACTTGCATCCATCCACTTTTTTCAAAGTTATTTATGAGCACTGAATTCTCAATGTCAGTGACCCGTTTCACTTTTCCTGCCACAATCCATAGGTATTTATGGTGCCAACAGGAACGACCACTTTCTCTTCAGCTTCAGTGAATCCTGCATCATATCCTTACCTGATGTCACACTGTTTTCCTGTCACTTCCTCCTGTGGGCAGGCACAGTACAGAGGAGTGCAGAGCATGGTGGCCGTCAGCTGCACCCCAGCTGACCTCCAGCCCCATGGGCCTTGCCAATGTAGTTATTTTATTTTAATTTTTTAAATTGATTGTCTTAAATTTAATTAGCCAACATATAGGACATCATCAATTTCAGATGTAGTTCAATAATCCATCAGTTGCATAAATTGAATTTAAATTAAAAATTGATTTTTTTAATTTTAATTTTTCTTTCTTTTCTTTTCTTTTTTTTTTTTTTTTTTAATATATATATAGAGTGTGTGTGTGTGTGTGAGCACTGGGGGAAGAGCAGGGAGAGAGGCAGAGAGAGACTCCCAAGCAGATCCCACACCTAGTGGTGCAGCCTGACTTGGAGCTCCATCCCATGACCCTGAGATCATGACCTGAACCAAAATCAAGAGTCAGGATGCCTGGGTGGTTCAGCGGTTGAGCGTCTGCCTTCAGCCCAGGGCATGATCCCAGAGTCCCAGGATTGAGTCCTGCATTGGGCTCCCTGCATGGAGCCTGCTTCTCCCTCTGCCTCTGTCTCTGCCTCTCTCTCTCTATGTCTCTCATGAATAAATAAATAAAATCTAAAAAAACCAAAAACAAAATCAAGAGTCAGATGCTTAACTGACTGAACCAACCAGGTACCCCATACAGAAAAACAATTTAGAGGGAAAACCAAAAATCACATTATTTTCTTGTTGGTGGTAGTGCCAGCAAGGTTTTTGTTCAGTATTGCAGAAAAAAAAATCTAAAATGTGGCAAATATGTCATATGGTCAAGTAAATTTTACTTATTTTAATTATTTAAGTTGCTTATGAGCACTTAGCTGCATAGTACATTTCAGAATACATTGTATTTTTTGAAAAAAAAAAAACCTAAACTATGTATTTCTACCCATTTTCACATAATCCAAATACCCCATTTAGATAGGCCCAGCATGGAGCCTACTTAAGATTCTTTCTCCCCGTCCCACTGCCCTTTCCTCCATCATGTGTGCGCTCTCTAAATGAATGAATGGATAGTTTCTCTATCCTGTCATGCACCCTAAAATGTCTTACTAATTCAGATCCACCCATTAAGTTAAATTCTCTTTTGAAACATCTCATTATGTATCATGGCTTAGTGGCTTTCAGGTAGGATATCAAATTCATATTTGCTTCAAAGGCTTGAGCATTACTTGGATGTTACCTAAGAAATCCATGAGATAACTTAAGTATGGACCTATTTTTAAGGAGCCAAATGCAAGTCAACTGTGTAGATTGAATTTTCTTGAAATTTTTGATCCCTTCTTCTTTTATTCAATGTATTTGTGAATGCAGCTGAAAATATGAAATTTGAAATTAAGAGTATAAAGTCACAGAGACATTGGAAGTAGAAAGATGACAAAACAAGCTGATGTGAGAACACTTAAGTCTAAGGTAGACATTAAGGCTTAAACCATTATTAGAGGTAATAAGGAGCATTTAATAATGATAACAATGCCAATCTATATAGAAAATATCATAATTCTAAATCTATATGCACCTGGTAACGTAGTCTCAAAATATAAAAAGCAAAAGTGATATAACCCTAAGAAGAAAAAGAAACATCCTCAATTAAAATGTAAAACTTCAACAAGCTTATTGTAATGGTTAGAAAACAAATTATTGCTGATTATAATGCTTTTCTGCTTAAAATATTCTGCTGGTTCTCCAATATTATGTAGGATACTGATCAGTTATCTGTATGTGGTAAACAAGAATCTCCATGATGTGCTCCAGCTTGCCTATTGAGCTTTGTCTGTTGTTTTGTTTGTTTGTCTTCATTGATCTTTATTAAATGAAGGACTCCAGGGCAAGCAGGAGGGAATCAAGAGCAACAACAGCAGGAGCAAATATAAAAGTATAAAACGTAAAGTGCAGCGCTGGGGAATGTGTGCTTATGGGCTCCGCTTATGGGGCTCCCGCTTATGGGAACCTTGGGGACACAAGGCTGAGGACTAGCCATAGCCTATCCTCTAATGGAACCTAGACCTGAGGGGCCTGTGCAGGGCTCTTTGCTGGGGGTAGAAGTGGTTTGAATGAGGCCCAACCTTGGGCCTTGAAGTAGGAGACCAGCTGTGTGGGTACTTCTGCAAGCACAGTCTGTGCCAGTGTCTCCCGAGGGGCATTTTGGAAGCAGTGGTAGGGCACATAGGTTTCTCCTATATGTCCTGTTTTCTATTCCGTGGTGTCATATAAAGTCCGGATAGGACAGTTCTTTTATAATACAACAAAATGAGAGTGAAGAAAAAAAATTCTCAGAGACAAGAGACCACACAGAAAAATATGTATACTATGCAGATGAAACTGACCATGTTTTTGAAAATAAGCTGAAGGAAATTAAGAAAACACATAATCTTTAACAGACCAGCAGAAACAGAAAAGTTCAGAAATAATACTACTAGACACAGGACTATGTGAAATGAAAACTGATAAGCATTAGGAAAGCGTTAGAAAAAAAATTTCAGAGATAAAGACCACACTTGAATGAATAGAGTAGAAAGTAGATACTCCAGAGAGCACAATAAGGGAAAAAGAAGATACAAAGGAGAAAAATAATTAAATACTTCCATTCTCTATAGGTAATTTGAAACCTTAACGCTTCTGCAACTAAAACTTCAAAGGTTTTCCTGTACGTAGACAATCATACTATAAAATTATTTCAAAGAATTAACAAATAATAATTGTTAAGACACCCTGGAAAAAACAATTATGTTGGGGAGATCTTGCTTTACCAGTTATTGAAACACTCTTAGAAAGCATCTATTTAAAAAAGTGTGGGGAGCGCCTGGGTGACTCGGTCTATTAAGTGGCTGACTCTTGGTTTTTGGCTCAGGTCATGGTCTCTGGATCCTGGGATCCAGCCCCGTGCAGGTGCCAGGATCTGTGCTCAGCGAGGAGTCCGCTTCTCCCTCTCCCTTTGCCCCTCCTCCTGCTTGTGCTTTCTGTCTCTCTAAAAATAAATCTTAAAAAAAAAAAACAGTGTAGAATTGATGTACACTTATGAAAACAGGTATTTCCTAGCATCAGCCAGTGAAAATGTTCAGAAGCATCGACATTCCAGCCATTGC